TTTTGGCTGGGCTACCATCCAAGGGATCTACCAATCAGGCCAACCTCTGATTGAATTTAGGGAAAATAAAGAAGCATTATAACCAGGAATGGGCAGAGAAGAATCCCAAATTTTCCAAATACCTGTATGTAATCCCAAACTCCTTTTGTCCTGATTATTTTCTAAGAGGCTACAAGGAGAAGGTTACTCTTTCTGGGGATGGCCCCATATAGTAACAAAACTGCCTCATTCAGGACCAGAAGGAGGTTAACAGAGGTAGAACCAGAATTATTTTTAAGTTGCTTTTCAAGGAGGTCATTCCAGCTCTCAACAATTCCAAATACCTGAGGATGGTACAGAGCATGGAATGTCCATCAAATATCTTAACTATTGACTCATTATTGGATGGTCTTTGTGACAAAAGACACACCATAGTCAGACTAAAGATGGTCTGAAAACACAAAGATATAGCTGTGGCTGGAGTAGGCTATTCAGACTGGAACAGCAACACTGTAATGTGAAAAATGTCTACAGTGGTGAGGCACAAGGTGAGCCCAAGAGAGAGTGGTGAAAGGTCCCTGCTGGGAACACGTAGGGGCAGTGCTCCATGTAATGTAGCCTCCTTCACCACAAGTAAAATAGGCCTACTCAGTAAGATACGCAAGTCTGGTACACAAAGTATCTTTGGCATCAAAAACATACCTTTCACTTTGTACCCAGTCTATGATGGTGGATTCATTGCCATATCTAGTGCAATAATGGATCCTTTGGCAAATGGGCAGTGCAGGCTTTTTCAGCAACTTGATTCCATTCAGTCTTATCAGAGAACAGGCCCTTACTCTGGTCATCTATATGAGTGACCCAGACTGTTAGATTGGCAGCCACAATTTGTTTCCACAATTCATGGCCCCAAAGAGGAGTGTCTTTAAATCATGACCTATAGTCTTCCAAGTGGCAGATCAGGTGACTAGAGCACCTAATCTGCCAAAACAGTTGCCAAAACAGCCCAAGGAATTAGTACAAATATGATGAGTGTTTAAGAGTATTGCCTAAGGTAACAGTGATGGCTTTCATTTCAGTCCATTGGGCTGACTAGCCCTTGCCACAGTCAGTCTTCCAGAATTGTCATTGAGGTTGCATAACTACTGCCTCCTAATGGACACCATCATGTTTTAATTTAGCCAAATCATGAGTAAACTAAGCCAAGGCATTTAGGGAACCATTAAGCAAGTGGCTTCAGACAATGGCCATCTCTCAACCCAGTGCTTTGTCCTCATTGCCAAACAAGTCAGGCCACAGCAGGGATCAGTACATAGTGCAGTTGGCTCTGTGCTATTGGGGAAGACTTTGCCTTCACTTTCACTTTTGAGCAGCTGCTCACTCATGTCTCAACCAAATGAACTTCTGATGTTTTCAGTCCACCCAGAGTTCTGTATTGAAGAGCAAGGTCCAGATTGCTCTCACTGTTCATTTCTGTGTTAGAGATCCCTTGGCTTAGCAGCCACAACAACACTGCCTTTGAGCTTGCTGCCCCATCCTTATGTAACATCCCTTCCCCTGCCTGCCCAGGGGAAAGTGAGCAAAGACAAAGGCACTATTTGGGCAGCATGCTTTAATCTTACCTCTCACTATTCAGACTCATTAACAGATGAGATAGTGGAGTTCCTTACACCCAACCTTGCCCTCCACCTCGGCATGATCCCAGGAAGTCTTCTCATCCTTGAATCTGAGGATGGACCCACAAGGCCCTTATCATTATTCTTTAAGAAAACTATGTCTCTGTCAGCATCTCATCACCTTTTACTGTCTTTTCAGTTCTGGGATTTAATTTCACCGTACTTACAAGGTAATAACTTAGTTACCGATGCTGACAGAAGACACAGGACTCTCATCAGAGACAAAAAGCTCTATTACTGGTGGTGTAGCAAGTAGCATGAGTACCTGCATGTTTGTATCAGTTTCTCTTGTCCCCCAGGAATCATGGAGGCAATAAAGAGGACCCAGAGGGACACAGCATACAGTGGGTTTGTGTGACATCAGAAGCATGTTAAATATAGGAAATCTCCAGCTTTTAGTGCGTAGTAAGCAAGCCTGCTCCTTGTTCTAGTGGGTGACATTACTTCATCCCTTGAGATTGCTCACTGCAAACCCTACTTTGAGAAATGGGCCCAGTAAAGAGAAGTTCAGTGCTTTGCCTTCTTGGCACACCTGCAAGTACACTCAAGTCACAAGGCACATGAAGGGGCACTCAAGGGACATGGCAGATTGACTCTCTTAACACTATTATAGTATTTCCAAAACTCATTTGTGCCTGTAACCACCACAGAAAAATTGATAAAATGAAATTGCTGATATTTTTGACCTATGTACTTCCTAGGGATAGTGATTCTTTTTAAAAATTAATACAGTAACTGGCTTGAGAGCTTATAAATATATAACTATATAGATACCATTAGAATTAATAATAACACATGATGTCTCTATTATTTCCATTCAATTTTAAATAATGTATTTTTGGTATATAATATGGTTAGGATTTGGAATGAAATATATGACAGAATGCCTACTTTACATTTGTATGTGCTATTATAAATGTAGTTATTTCCAGGATAAAATTATATACAAAACCTATAAATGAACAAAAAAATATAATGAACATTTGTGTATATATAGTGAACATTTATTTTCCCCTGAACTACAATGAGAGTAAATATAAGCACTGGGGATGCAGAGAACAAGAATGCAAAGAGATTATTTGGGAAACATGTAGCTCCCAAACTATTGGTTTTGGGAAAACATACCAAAAATACCTCTTTGGTATTCCAGTGGGAAAAAGAGCTGCTATTGGCAGTGGTAAGCAAGTATGGGATATTGAAGTCTGTTAAAATAATTGTCTCAGCTAAAGAGAAGGCAGGCTGAGTGCTGTGGCTCATGCCTGTAATCCTAGCACGTTGGGAGGCCGAAGTGGGAGGATTGCCTGAGTTCAGGAGTTCAGGACCAGCCTGAGCAAAATATAAAAAAAAAAAAAAAATTTTTTTAAATAAAGAGAAGGTAGATATAGAAAATATGGTAGCCATTAGAGAAAGAAATGTAGAGGGTGGGGATCCAAAATGTTTTACAGATCTGTTGCTAATGGTCTAGAAGTTAGTGATAAAGGCACTTACCAGGAACAGACAGTAATCTTGTAGAATATGATTTCAGATACATCTCATTCAGGGAGATACCCCCTTCCCTTCCACTGAGTGATTGAAAGGTGGTCATATTTGTGCTAAAGCCAAGAAAATACTTAAAATTGGGGGATAATCTTTGCCTTACTATGAGTCTATAGCTTTAAAAGAAGCTGTTTATCTAGAAAAATAGACAAACAGGACTCAGTCCAAGCTTCAAGACCAGGAAGCTACCCACCAGCTCAGTGACAATAACTGTTATATCCCTAATATCACTGGATACAGGGCCCCAAGACTATTTAAAACCAGTTTCTTATAATGGACAAGGAGCTGGGTAGAAGCAGCTATAAGGGTGAGCAAAGAGAAGAAAGAAAAACAAACAAATGAAAAATGATGGCAAATAATCTTCTCATTAAAATGAACCTGCAAGGCCAAAGCAGGAGAATCACTTGAGTCCATGAGTTCAAGACCAGCCTGAGCAAAATAGCAAGACCCTGTCTCTACAAAAAAATTAAAAAAAAAAAAAAAATAGTAGCCAGGCAGAAAATAAAATAAAAATGCTCATGCCTCTAATCCCAATGACTCCAGAGGCTGAGGTAGAAGTATCACTTGAACACAAGAGTTTCAGACCATCCTGGGCAACACAGCAAGACCCCATCTCTACAAAAAATTGGGGGAAAAAGCCAGGCATGGTGATGCATACCTGCAGTTCCAGATACTCAGGAGGCTGAGGCAGGAGGATCACTTGAGCTCCAGTAGTTCAAGGCTGCAGTGAGCTACAGTTGTGCCACTGTACTCTAGCCTGGGTGACAGAGTAAGACCCCATCTCTAAAAAAAAAAAAAAGGAAATAAATGAACCCACAAACAAAAATTCCAAAATATGTGAAGAAATCTAATGCAAAGAAAGCTAATAATATCACCATTCAGATTATGAATTCTTTCCTAGTGGAAGAACATAAACAAAGCAAAAAGATAAGTCACAAGAAGGGATAAGATATTTGCAAAACCAACCAAGAATCAGTATCCAGAATACACAAAGAACTCCTACAGAGCAGTGAGAAAAAGACAAATAGCCAAGCTCAGAAATAAGTAAACAACACAAGGCTATTTGCAGAAGAAGAAACAAATAGCTAACAAACATAAAAACATTTTGCCTCAGTTAGGGAATACAAATTAAAACACAACTATATACCCATTAGATTGGCAAAAGTTAGCAAGCATGACAAAACCAAAACAAGTATGATGAGGATGTGGAGAAACAGGAATTCTCATATGTCACTGATGGGAATGTAAGTTGGAGTAGCTACTTTGAGAGCAGTTTCAACCCAGCAGTTTTAGAAATTCTTGCACACTTACCAGGCAATATATACAAAAATATTCATTACAACATTGTTTGTACTAGTGAAAAATGAGAAACATACTAAATATTCCTCTAGAGAATAATATATTATTTTCATATGACAGAATACTCCATGAAAGTATGTGAACCAAAGCAACTTGGATAAATTTCAAAAATATTGCTTTGAGTAAAAAATGGCAAGTGATTCAAACAGAACTATTTATATAAAGATTGAAAACATGTAAAACAATACTATGTAGCTTATATATGCATGTGTGTGCATGTGTGTGTGCATATGAAATAAAATATAAAAACATTCATTGGAATGGTAAACATCCAGTTTAGAATAGTCTCCAAAGAGGAAGAATTGGGGACACAAAGGAATCATTAACCATATCTGTTATGTTTTATTTCTTACAAATGAAAAATCTAAAGCAAAACATCAAAATATTTTACTCAAAATCTCCATATCATTGTTAAGATTAGATAACTATATGTTTTTTTTTTTTTTCTAGAAAAGGAGTTTATCTTAAGAGAACTGGACAGACATAATTATAAAGCTAAAATTGGCATTTGGGGATGATTTCTTTCCCAGATTCATTTCAAGTGCTCTTCTTCAGGTCAGAGAACTTTTTTATTCTCTTTCACCCTTTCAGAGATTATACTCCTTTTTTCACATCTGGGGAAAATTCAATTAAATCATTTTTATGACAGATCAAAATAAAAGAAGCTCTTGTTGTTAATAATTATAGGAAAATTAAGATGAGAATTATAACTACCTAATGAAAAACAAGAAAAACTTTCACTTTCAGAAACACTGGGAAATGTTTTCATATTTCAGAGGCACAATGGACCTGGTCAGATCAAAGTAATGTCCTTTCAGTGACTTAATCAAAACCATCCTGTAATTTCAGCTCCCTTACTTCTACTCACTTTCCATCAGAGTTTTCTAAGAATATATACTCTTTTGATCTATTATCTCCTTCACTCATACTATTTCTTTCCCAGTAAGAAATTAAAGCAGATCCCAAAACAAACATTCCTCACTTCCGGATCAGTTTCTGAGGAGTACACTTAAGGAAGCAGCACTAAATGATTACCTTCCAAATCTTTCCCAAAGTATTTGCCTTATAAGAATATTCCTGAAAACTTAAGAAGTCCTCAGTTCAAGCAATATTAGGAAATATTTAGACATTTTGTTTGTTTCATATTGAGGGAACTTTAGAGGAAGCAAAGAGGCCTATAACATGGATGGCCTCCAGGGTCATACAGCTCTCAGAGGGTGGTCAAATCCTCAAACTTGCTGCCTCAAACTAGTATCTTCCCCTTTTTCACTGAAACTTGAGATATTCTCCTGATTTTAGCTCTTAAAGTTGTCTGTCCCTTCTGCTCATTCCCAGAAGTTGAATTTGCATGCCGTGGGCATGTAATAAATGTATGTCCATGAAACCAAGGAGGTTGATATTGGTCCAAATGAATTATATTGTTTCTAGCCACAGCCTTTGTAGATAATATCCAGTGAGTTTCTCTCCTTTGGAATAGGATCACTTCCAAGGGTACCAGCTAAATTGCCATTGGCTATGCCCTTATTGGTCCTATATCATCACTGTATGTAGGTAGAATATAGACATCTTTCTGAATGTAAGAAAAAAAATCAGAAAAACCATGCAGTAGCCCTGCCTTATCCATGGTTTTGCCTTCTGCTGTTTCAGTTACCATAGTCAACTGCAGTCTGAAAATTTTAAGGTATTTTGAAAGAGAAAAAAAGAGAAACCACATTCACATAACTTTTATTACTTATTATTGTAATTGTTATATTTTATTTTTAGTTACTGTTGTTAATATCTTACTGTGCCTAATTTATAAATTAAACTGTATCACAGGTGTATATGTATCAGTACAAACAGTGTACAGAGAGTTTGGTAAGGTTTCAGGTATTCAGTGGGGATCTTGAAATGTATTCCCAGCAGATAACTCTATTTATAACATTCTTACTATTTTTACTTTTACCTGTTCCTAATCTTGGTTCTCTTCTTAGTCACTAGCTGAACCATGTATACTACAATAACATCTTCCTGTGTACATGGCCTCTCTCATGGGCCACTCCTGGTTCCACCTGACCATCTACATTTTGGTGCCTTCTCTATACTGGAAAATTATTCATAATAATGGCAAACATTTACTGAGCATTTGCTTTGTGCACTGTTCTAAGTACTTTTACAAATGTTATTTATCTCATTTCATATGCATAATAATTTCAGGTACTATCATCCCCTGTTTCACAGATGAGAAATAGAAGTACAAGAGAATACTTTATTTCATCTGTTAAAATTTTCCTTGATATTAATACTTCTGTGAGAAGCAAAGATGAAATTGTGTCAAAGAGTTTGTAACAAGTGAGGCGCTAATATTGTTCTATTGTCTACTTTATAACAAGGCTAAGTGACTATTTGTTGAATGAATAAATGAATGAATGAATGAATGAATGAATAAATATTATTACTAAGATGTACCATGTCTTATGTAGGTAGAGTCCCCAGAATAATGTAAAATGTAAATACGTCAAGCACTGTGTCCGGAACTCAGTAGTTACACCTACCAACATATACTAGTTTCCTTTTTCTCCTTCCCTTTTTCTCTAATTTCACAATCAAAGTGACTGTCTGATTGAATATCTTTAAAAGGTCATGATGAATTATTCTGTAATATTTGAAATGTTATGCTCAGAAAGGTCAAACCTTGTTTTTCAATATGAAGTGTCATAGATTTGTTTTTCCTGGGCACTTTTTCTTTTTTTAAAGAAAAGATGGCAAGAAATTTAGAGCAGGGTGCCCTCTTGAGGAAATTTTAGCACCTTCCTTGTCAAGAGCTGGCACTGAATGAAACGTGAAGTCCTGATAAATGATGTAGACATTAATGAAGCTCAAATAAATGAAACATTGAAAAGAATAATCAAATACCACATACCTGAGAGTTAAGATTCTTAAATGTTATTATCTAACATAGCAACTATAAATAAGAATTTTTAAGTAAAAACAGAAACATCTGGAAGATACTTCACTTCTTTTTCACCCAATCCTTCAAGTAATATTTATTAATCATTTATTTTGTGCCAGGAACTGTACTGAGCACAGTGATTGATAAAATATAGTCTCTCCCTTCAGGGAGCTCACAGTTTATAATAGGGGGTCCCAGTGAAGGGAAGCAAACGGATGTATTAATATATGTAACTACAAACTGAGAAAAGTACTATGAAGGAAATGGAAAGATACAAAATAAGTTCTGCTAAGGGTCTTCAAGGACAGCCTCTCTGAGAGGAAATAATGAAGCTGAGTCATAGTCTTATGGACTCTCTTTCCTAGCCTTGATCTTTCTTATCTCTTCTTATCTCTGCCCTTGTAGGCAAGCAGGCAAGTCTCATTTATCCTTATGCACCTCATTCTAGCTCCAGATAGTCCCATTGGTCTTACAGCCTCACAGTCTTCACAGTGGGTAGTCCACTTGATTAACAATGTCTTCCTTACTAATATCGATAGCCCCTTATAATAGAACATCAGTGTATTATAATACTAAAGGGCCTTACTTCTAACAAGGTTAAGGATATGGAGGGTCTCAGAAAATGTAAAGGACAAATAACCCTACCTACCATTATGCTTTGAATAGGGATGGATAAATAGGCATGAAGTAGGCAGAGAATTTGATCATGCAATAGTGTTTGGTCATGTTAACCTTGAAATATCTGTGGTACCAAGCAAACAGAAGTCTTCAACCAGTATTGGAAGTGAGGATCTCAGATAAGAGCTCAAAAGAACAATTTTAGAGAGTTTTGTTTTTTTTCAAAGCCCCCATATTACACAGACTTACTATGTAATGGCTGGCCTGGATCCTCAATACTGTATTGCTCTAGCCCTTGTGGCTAAGCTTCTTTCTCCAGATGGCTTGATTCTACCAGATTGGAGGATTTAAATAATGTGGAGAGTATTGCCTGCAAACGCATGGGCCTAGGATGACTTCTGGGTTGGTGTTTAGGTGACCATATGAGATCCAAACTTTGAATAAGCAGCTTCTACCTTTATTGTAACCATAAATATCTCTTTTCAAGAAAACTAACCCGTCCTCTCCTTATTAACCAAAGGACCGTGTACAAAACAAAGTGTTACCTTTTGAATCTCAGTTCCCTGACCTATAGATTGGGATTTGACATCTTTGCTTATTTTGCAAGGTTATGATATTTTGAATATAAATAATAGGTACCATATTGGTTTGAATGTGCTGGAACTAATACACCCACACATTGTTGTTACTAGCTAGCAATATGGAAAATATACCAAACACCATAAAATGTACAAACTTCTTTGACTCAGCAATTTGTTTCCTGATAATTTCTTATGAAAAAATTAAGAAAAACAAACTATGTGAAAAAGGTATACATCAAGAAATTTTCTATAAAAGAAAATATTGTTAGATATTGAAAATATCCAGCAATAATAAACTGGTTAAATAAAACATATTGCCTTCACCCAATAAAATATTGACGAGCCCCTATGTAAGTTATATTCAGGTATATAGTGCTTGGAAGGAAACTTGAAAAAAATAAAATAATTGATACCTTAGGGTAGTAGAATTATAAGTATTTTTTCTCTTATTAATTTCTCTGAATGTTATTACTCTGACTAATTAAAATACTTAAAACATTTTAAAATTTAAAAAATGTTTTGGCCCCAAAGTAAATTTTTTCTTATCATCTCTTGTTTTTTATTTAGGGAAATTATCGTTTCATGAAACTCTTACTTACACGCAGAGCAAACTGGATGCAAAAGGATCTAGAAGAGATGACTCCTTTACACTTGACCACCCGGCACAGGAGCCCTAAGTGTTTGGCACTTCTGCTGAAGTTTATGGCACCAGGAGAAGTGGATACGCAGGATAAAAACAAGGTATTGGACTGTCAAAATCAAAGACAAATAAGAACAGAAAGCAAATACTTCCTTTTATGATTTGAAACCTCAAGGAAGAAGACCTAAATTACCACCCATACACATGGTAGAACAATTCCAATCTCCATATATCCCAGGAAAGTATTTCACTTAAACTCTGTTATTTTATTGTCTTAGCAACCATATGTGGGTAGGTAGTATCATCTCCTTTTTACAGATGAAATAACTAAAGCTCAGAAAGATTAAAATTTTGCCAAGATGCAAGTGGCAAAACTATCATAGAATTCAAATCCAAGCCCATCTAATTCCAAAATCCAATTAATTGACAGGTAGTTGTGATATGTAGTTAGACTCATAGTAGCCAGATGTCCCAAGCAATGTACTAAGTACATAATGGTTTAATGGCCTGGGCTTTGGCATCAAACTTCTTGGGTTTCAACCCAGAAGCTACCATTCACTTGTGTCCTTAAGTCCTCTATGCCTCAATTTTCTCATATGTGAAAAAAGGATAATAGAGTTATTGAAGATAAAATGAGATAATATATATAAATTGCTTAGCATAATGCCTAGTGCATAATATGCCCTTAATAAATGTTAGCTATTAAATAATTATGAGTTTCATTTCAGTTCTAACCTCTGCTCTGGCATTCCTAACTAGGATACATTATCTTCCCTGCTCTTGAATTTTAACATGTAATACACACTGATCATTGTTTAGATTGATGCTCTCATCATCCTTCACAAGGAAAAAATAAATGTGGTCTTTAGTGAGACAAGTGCAATAATCCTCTTCCTTTCTATCATGCACTTAGTCATAGCATCTTGCTCACTCCAGTGCTCCCATATAATTAAAACCCTTATGATTAAATCCATTGGGTTTATATTCAATAATCCTTTCACACCCATGGTATTCTTTATGTGGTTTTCAGATTTTGTTTAGTAGTCACTCAGAGTTCTGAGATCAACTTTAACTTTACAACTATTGTATGTTAATATTATTGCTAATTCACGGCATTTGTAGTGCTAATATTTCACTGAAAAAAGTACTTCTATCAATCCACAAAGACCCGTTAATCCCTTAAGAAGCAACAAATGTCTTGGGGCTTTAAAATGTCTTTCCCAATATATTCTAGGAACTTCCATTATCTATATTCTTCTGTTGTTGAACAATGAGGGGAGGTTATCTCATCAGACGCATGGAAAATGCGTCTGCATAGTCCAGGCAGGCATGGAGAAGAAAGCCAGACAAAAGCCTAGATTAGTGATTCTCAAACTATTTGTGGTGAAGGATCAGTTTTAAAAATTTCCAATCTGTCACAGATCAATTATTTTATAACACACATTAAAAATGGACAACAAAAAAAACCCAATCTAATATAAAAATGAGCAAAGAACCCAAATAGACATTTCTCCAAAGAAGATATACAAATGGCCAAGGATCACATGAAAATATGTTCAACACCACTAATCATTAGGGAAATGCAAAACTACAATAAGCTAACACTTCCTACCCCTTAGGATGATTATTACTATTAGTACAAAAACAGAAAATAATAAGTGTTGAATGGATGTGGGGAAATTTGAACCCATGTGCTTAAAGGTGGGAATGTAAAATGGTATAGCCACTGTAGAAAACAGCATGGCAATTCCTCAAAAATTAAACAGAGAATTACCATGTGATTCAGCAATTTACTCCTGGCTATATACCCAACATAATTAAAATTAATTAATAATTAAAACTCAAACATATATTTATACATCTATGTTCAATAGCAGCATTATTTACAATGCCCAAAAGATGGAAACAACCCAAATGTCCATTGATGGATAACTGGATAATCAAAATGTGGTATCTATATTTAATCTGTATACAATAGAATATTCAGCCTTAAAAGGGAATGAAATTTTGACACATGCTGCAACATAGATAAACTGAAAAACACATTATGCTAAGTGAAGTAAGTCAGACACAAAATGACAAATATTTTATGATTCCACTTATGAGGTATCTAGTTGTAATCAAATGCATTGGGACAGAAAAGTAGAATGGTGGTTGCCAGGAGCTGGAGGGAGGTGAGAATGAGAAGTTATTGTTAAATGGGTGCAGAGTTTCACTTCAAAAAGATGAAAAAGTTCTGTAGATGGTTGTACAACAATGTAAATATCACCGAACTGTACACTTCAAACCAGTTAAAATGGCAAGTTTTATTTATATATATTTGATATATATAAACATTTGTGTATATATATTTTATCACAATAAAAAAGGAATTACTGTACTAGAAAAATAAAAAACAAAGATGTAGAAAATACAAGCCCAAACTTTTTACTGTTTTACTGTTAGGTTCAACATACATAATATTACATTTCAGTAAATATAATCAGAACAAACATAACATAGGAAAAGAAAAGAATTACAGAAATGGTACATGTTGTTTATTGAAAATGTGGTTATAGGCAATTAGTGGCTATTATACTTGTGGCCTTTTTTTGATCTGCAGTTTAAACTAAAGTAATGAGTTAAATAGTGACTTCATATTAAATGCCTATAGGTATACTTTCAATGAATAACATGTATGTCAGTTTTTAAAGTTTTAAATATGACAGATTAGCTTGGTTCCTGCTCATTCAGTTATCTAATTCTAGATTGGATTGGTGACAGTGCTAATCACAAAAGATAATGTAGGCTGGGCGTGGTGGCTCATGCCTGTAATCTTAGCACTCTGGGAGGCTGAGGGGGGCGGATTGCTCGAGGTCAGGAGTTTGAGACCATCCTGAGCAAGAGCAAGACCCCGTCTCTACTATAAATAGAAAGAAATTAATTGGCCAACTAATATACAAAGGAAAAAATTAGCCGGGCATGGTGGCACATACCTGTAGTCCCAGCTACTAGGGAGGCTGAGGCAGGAGGATAGCTTGAGTCCAGGAGTTTGAGGTTGCTGTGAGCTAGGCTGACGCCATGGCATTCACTCTAGCCTGGACAATAAAGTGAAACTCTGTCTCAAAAAAGAATAAAAGATAATGTATACCTAAACAGTTTCTATGTTTTTCCTTAATAATGTTTCTCCTAATAGAGAAATAAGTCTTACAGAAGTATGTTGACGAGAATGGCAGAAGAGATTTTAGAGCAACTTCAGCAAGTTCAGGATGATGATTTTTAACTTTTATCTAAAATAAAGTGTGAAAGTTGTCAAAATCAAAATGGAGTTGCCGTGTTAAAACAAAACATAACAAAAAACAAAACAAAACCCTGGCAAATAGAGCTAGGGAAAGCTATAAAGAGAAGGTTCTCATGCTTGTTTACCTGATAACAAAACTATCAAAATACTGCAAAAACTGCAACCTTGTATGAAGGCCATTGCAACCTTACACAAAACATGGTTCTGTAAGGACATCTGCCCAGCAACTGCCTGTCCAACCTCAGACTGGCATCACCCTTGTTATTGATCCTGATAGCCAAGGATAATAATTTCAAAACAATTATGTAATCCTCCTCATGTTTTCTTTAAAAATCTTTGTCTTGCTATACCTTTCTGAATATGCACATAGTTTACTACGCACTCATATTTCCATTACAATGCCCTATTCCTGAATAAACATCATTTTCTTTTAGAGAGCCTCTCTCTGTTATTTAGATTGACAAAAGCAAGTGCTGCTATATTTTCTTTCTTTTTTTTTTGAGATAGAGTCTCACTTTGTTGCCCAGGCTAGAGTGAGTGACTTGGCGTCAGCCTAGCTCATAGCAACCTCAAACTCCTGGGTTTAAGCAATCCTCCTGCCTTAGCCTCCAGAGTAGCTGGGACTACAGGCGTGCACCACCATGCCTGGCTAATTTTTTCTATATATATTAGTTGGCCAATTAATTTCTTTCTATTTATAGTAGAGACAGGGTCTCACTCTTGCTCAGGTTGGTTTTGAACTCCTGAGCTCAAACGATCCGCCTGCCTCGGCCTCCCAGAGAGCTAGGATTATAGGAGTGAGCCACTGCGCCCAGCCTATATTTTCAAAATGTATTTTTCATCAGTAACTAAGCCTAGCAATTTATCCTGTAAAATTATAATTAAATTTAAATTTATTTTTGATATAAGAAACAGATTCTTGATCCATAAATTTCAATGCATGGATCTTCTTTTTGATGTATATTAAAATTCAAAACATCCTATCAAATTCTTAAGGTGGTTGGTGATAACCAGAAGTATAATATATTACTTCATTGATAATTATTCATAAATTATTGGGCTGCTTTTATCTTTCTCAGTCTTATTAGTAGTACCTTATAAATTAGATGACTGTCATAATTAAGAGGTCAGATTCTGGAGTCAGACTACCTGGGTTAAAATCTCAGTTCAGCCACTTAGTTCCCTTATGTCCTTGAGCAGATTACTTATCCTCCTGTCCTCAGTTCCCTCATCAATCACATGCAAATTAAAGAGTTTTATGTCCCAGAGATGTCATGATGACCACATGAGATTAAATATATAATAGTCCCCCCTTATCCATGGGGGATAAAAGTTCTAAGACCCCCAGTGGATGCCTAAAACCATGAATAGTAACAAACCCAATTGCTGCCAGTAGTTACACATTTACTATTTACTATCATGTCTTCCACACACATATTTAAGTTTACATCTTTACTAAGCACTTATTACACACTGTGGCTATAACTTTTGCAGTTTAGGGTGCAGCAGCAAAACTAGCATGAATTTCTTTTTCCTTCTTTCCAATTTCACAGATAGAAAATTTATTCTTACCATAGATCTTAGCAAACTTCAGCATACAATTTTCACCTTTTCCCTTAAATGAAGCATTTTATAGCTGTTCTTTGGCATATCTGAATTGCCGGCCCCAGTACTCTTGAGCTTTGGGGCCATTATTAAGTTAAAATAAGGGTTATTTGAACTCAAACACTGCGATTCTGATATCTTGACAGTTGATCTGATAAACAAGTTGACTACTAAGTGACTAACAGGCAGGGAACGTGGAGGATTCGTGTCCTGGTCAGGCAGAGCAGACAGTGCATGATTTCATCACACTACTCAGAGTGGTGTGTAATTTAAAACTTATAACTTGTTTATTTCTAGAATTTTCTATTTAATATTTTCTGACCACGGTTGCAGAAAGTAAAATCAAGGATGAGGGCAGAAATACTGTATAAAACCCCTATGACAGTGCCTGTCACACAATAAAAGCTTGAGGAAACTTTGTTGTTGTTGTTGTTGTTACTGTTGTTATTGCTGTTGTTATTCGCAGCAAACAGCTCTGCACTGGAGTGCCTACTATAATAACCCTGAACATGTGAAGCTGCTTATCAAGCATGATTCCAACATTGGGATTCCTGATGTCGAAGGCAAGATCCCACTTCACTGGGCAGCCAACCATAAAGATCCAAGTGCTGTTCATACAGTGAGATGCATTCTGGTGAGTAGAATGGTGCTGCCAGACCTGAATGGCCTTTGTAAAAAAAAATTATTATGAATTATCCAATATATACAAAGCATACATAGGTCATACAAGCAAATTATGAATCAAAAGAGTACAACAAACATTTATGGACCCATCCCCTAAGAAATCGAATATTTTAATGCCATAATTTAAGACCTCTTAGAAGTTTTCTATGTTCTGATTTTTAAATGTGTTCATTTCCCCTACGCTATGTTCATCCCTGTTCCCCATCAACTACTTTCCTGAATTGATATTTATCATTTCCTTACTTGGTTTTATATTTGTCTTTATTAAACAGTGAATAGATATAAGTATCAGTAAAAATGCATATACAGTATAAAGAATAATGAAACAACAAATACTCACATACCATCAAGTTTAAGAAAAAGTGTGTTACTATCACCTTTGAACTCCCGAGTGAGGCACACCCCAATTCCATTCTGTTCTCTCCTTTTTCGGAGGCAGCCACTGTCCTCAATTTGTGTTTTTCATTCCTCTCATTTTCATTGTAGTTTTACCATATTTATTTTTATCCCTAAACAATATGTTTAGTTTTTAATGTTTTAGAATTTTAGAGACATGGAATTACATTGTATATTGTCTTGTACAATGTGCTTTTCTTGCTCAACTTTTTGTTGTTGTTTTTTTTTTTTTTTGTTTTTTTTGGTTTTTTTATTTTTTCTTGTTTTTTGTTTTTTCTTTTTTTGATAAACTACATATTATTTATTCTGTTATAGACAGATACTTTTGACTGTTTCTTGTGTTTTGCTATTTACAAATAGTGCTGCTTTGAAGATTTCTGAACATATCTTGGATATATATGTAACTGTTGCAGGTATATAGGAATGCAATTGATATTTTTGTCCATTGGTTATATATCTAACCAATTTGTTAAACTCCTTATTAACTTTGAATATTTGTCAGTAGATTCTTTGATATTTTCTAATCACTCTGTCCCAACTTCTAACTTAAATGCTATGGTAATCTAATATCTAGTCATATTTGTTTTTAATATACAAATTAGACTTTTAAAATATTATTATTTTGTATGTACAATGATTATTTATTTTTACTTGCATGTTAACTAATTTCTTTGCTTTGCATTTTTTCTTGAATCTCAAATTTTCCCTAAAGTTATCTCACCTCCTAAAATATATTAATAGTTCTTAGGAGTTCCTTTATATAGATCTTTTGGTGGTAAACTCTGTTTTTAATTGTTAAGAATGTCTGCCTTTCAGTCTTGCTCTTGAAAAAATAGTTTCTGTGTATACAGTCCTAAATAGCTATTTTTCTCAGCTTTTTCAGGATATTATTTTGCTACTTTCTGCTTAATACTATTGCTTTTGAGGGGTCTGTTATCGGTCTAATTGTCATTTTCTCTTATTGATGAGCTATCTTTTCCCTCAGGCTATTTTTATATTTTTCTCTTTGTTTGGCATTCTACAGTTTTACTACAGTGTATCTAGGTATGTCCTTTTTAAAAAAGCTTGCTTGATATACTTTCTGATTATGGTATCTCAATTCTGGAAAATACATAGCTGTTATCTTTAAATACTGCCTCCTTTCATTCTCTCTACTCTTACCTTTAGGGTCCCCAGTTATATGTATTTTAGACCTTTTCCTTTTATCCACAGTGTCTTTTAATTTCTCTTCTGTATTCCCATCTCCTTGTGTCTCTCTGCTACATTCTGGGTAATTACAACAGGTCTGTCTTCCAGTTTACTAAGTTTTTCTTTGGCTGAGTCCAATCTGTTGTTTACCCCATCCATTGAGTCTTTACTCTTAGTTATTATATTTTTCAATTTCTATTTGATCATATTTCATATCTGCTTGGTCATTTTGGTAGATTTCTTCTTTGCTCACTTTTTACTTCATTTTTTATTTTCTTGCATGTTTCATACATAGTTATTTTATATTCTTTTTCTATTAATGTTAATATCTGTAGTCCTTGGGGGACAATTCTAGCTCATAAAATCTTATTTCTTCACAGACTTTGCTTTATTTTTTCCTTGTAAACACATCATATTCCTTGGGAGACTCCAGGGCCAGAAATATCATCCTAGTAATATTCCTCTTTTTTGGAGTAATTATTATATCTTTTATACTCTTTTATGTAAAATAGGCAGACTGTACAGCCAGCTCTGAATCTGTGGTGGCCCTTGAGAGAGTTCTCAGGTTGGGGCAAGAGGGCTTGGCTCTGGATATGACCTAACCTAGGAAGGGACATGACCTTGGGTGAGGTAACTCTTCAGCTGAAATAATTCCAAAAGGCTGACGGTGGAGGATTGTCTGCTCATAGCACTCCCAACAGCAGGGAAACAAATCCTTTAGTCTTGAAGGGGAGACTTTAAAAAAGTGCATCATAATTTCTCTTACAAAGATCCAATAGAAAAATAAATGTTGTGAACTGTCAATTTACAGATTAAAAACACTAAATTGCCAGTAAACATGATAAAAAAAATCTCAACCCCATTCACAAAAGAACTATAAGTTAAAACAGCAGTAAAATGTTTTTCATATCCACAAGAGAAAAAATGTAATAAGCTTGAAAATACCAAGTGATTAATTTGTGCCAGCATGTGGGGAAGTAAAAACTTTTACACATTGTCATAAGTGTGTTCATTGTTACAACCATTTGGAGAGCAGTGTGACGGTACCTACTTGAAGATGCAGATATTCTTCAAACCAGCAATTCCAATTCTAGGTATCTAGCCTAGAGAAAATTTCACACTTGTATTCCAAGGGACATGTAAGGAAATGTGTTAATTGCAGCATTATTTTTAATAGTGAAAAAAAAAATGGGACTAACCTAAATGTCCTTTAGTAGGAGAACAGATAAATAAATCATGGTTTATTCATGCACTTCAACAATTGAACTAGTACTCACATAGATACCCAAAGTATAGTGTTGAAAGAAAAAGTTGTCAAAGGATATACATGTATATTGCCATAATGTAAATATTAAAAACACCCATACAAAATTTATGCATTGCTTATAAGGTACATACATATGTACAAAGGTATAAAACATATAGCTTGGCCGGACACAGTGGCTCACGCCTGTAATCCTAGCACTCTGGGAGGCCGAGGCAGGCAAATTGCTCGAGGTCAGGAGTTCAAAACCAGCCTGAGCAAGACTCCGTCTCTACTAAAAATAGAAAGAAATTAATTGGACAACTAAAAATATATATACAAAAAATTAGCCAGGCATGGTGGCACATGCCTGTAGTCCCAGCTAGTTGGGAGCTGAGACAGGAGGATCGCCTGAGCCAGGAGTTTGAGGTTGCTGTGAGCTAGGCTGCCATGGTACTGGGAGATGACACCCTTTTGTTCTTTAATAAAGTTTCTAAACTGTCAAAAAAAAAAAAAAAATGTTGATACCTTTTTAATCTAGATAGTCAGTATGTGGTAGTTATATTCTTTTCTGTGCTTTTTACAATTAAATATGAAAATAAATTTTTAAAAATTTAGACTGTACACTTTTTCCTGGATTTATCACTTTACTTGTGCTGTGAGAGAATATAAAGGTTTTGTTTAGAAAATTGCTCAGTTAATACTTATGCCAAATGTAATTTATTGAGGATTCCATGTATGTCTGAAGTCTCTGGTTCCTTAAAAATAGGATGCTGCCCCTACAGAGTCTTTACTGAACTGGCAAGACTACGAGGGTCGAACACCTCTTCACTTTGCAGTTGCTGATGGGAACGTGACAGTGGTTGATGTCTTGACCTCATACGAAAGCTGCAATATAACGTCTTATGATAACTTATTTCGAACCCCGCTTCACTGGGCAGCTTTACTAGGTAAGTTGTATATGAATCAAAGGATCAACAGGAGAAGGAATTGCATGACTATAGGAACATTTCTGTGCTTTCTCTTCCCCTGTTTAATTATTTTAATTTCTAATTGATATGGTGCATTGTTTTATAATCTAAATTCTAGCCATATAAATTTATTCTGTTAAATATTAGTTTTAATTTCAACATGATGGTTTTTGTTTTTGTTTTTAAGACAGCGTTTCGCTCTGTCACCTAGGCCTGCAGTGGCATCATCATAGCTTACTGCAACCTTAAACTCCTGGGCTAAAGCAATCCTCCTGCCTCAGCCTTCCTAGTATCTGGGACTACAGGCATGTGCTACCATGCCTGTCTAATTTTTTTCTAGTTTTGGTGAAGACAGGGTCTCACTCTTGCTCAAGCTGGTCTAGAACACCTAACCTCAAGTGATCCTCCTGCCTTGGCCTCCCAGAGTGCTAGGATTACAGGTGTGAGCGACCACACCCAGCCTTAACATCATGTTTTAATTGTTAAGATTTGCTATAAAAGTAATGCATATTCACTGACAACATGTAAATGAAACATAATCCTCTTTTCACATTCAATATCTTTATTTTGTGGGAGGAGGGCTTTAATTTTATGTTTGTGCTAATACTATGATTTTTTTTCCTTTATATTGTCCTGATATACCTTTTACATAACCTTTTTGCAGATCACTATTTTAGATGACAGAGTGTATACATGTGTATATTATATGTGTATGTGTTAGATTTTGTTGGGGGTGGCAATCTAAGGAGTTCTATTTTAGTGAAGGAGTTTTACCAATTAATACTCATAGTTATAAGATAAATAATTTGGTCTTTTTTTTCCTATTCTGTTCTCTATTATTAGTGTTTTCAGGTGTCTTCTTAATTTTTTTGGTTTTCTTCCTGTTTCCTTTGTTTTCTACATTTCAGTGTATGGATTAGGTTTGTTGTTATTTGGTTTTGAATTTCCTAATATTTTTAGGAATGTTTTTAGGTTCTGTTAGTGGTTACTTTTAAATTTATCAAAAAATTTTTAAGCCTGAATCAGAGCCAAAAACAAAACAGCATCTATTTGCTCCCACCTATTTAAGATAAAAGATTTAACACACTTGTACTCATCACTCTTTCAGTATTCTCTCATATAATTTGATGTCCCCCCCCAGTTATTGTAATCTTGATTTTAGTTTTTAAATTATACATTGTCTCTTTTGAAAATGATTTTTATGTTTGCATTCAGTTTTATAGTCAGATTCATAATTATTATGTAGACTTCATTTCAGAATATGATTTCATTCCTTTTCATTTTCCTCAGGATTCTGGGCATACTTGGCAAACTTGTCTCCACATCACTAAATTGACTTTTTGTTCCATGAATTCTGCTTTATTTCTACCTTCTATATAGATTGTATTTTAAATTGCATTTTTATTTTCTTCTCTTATCCATATTTCTTTTCATCTCATCTTATTTCCTTTTTACTTCTTTCGATTACCCTTTCATTTCAGTCTGTTTTCTTCTTAGGATATTCTGTTTCTGTTTCCTTGAAGCCATCTCTTTTTGCACTAAGTTGAGGATGCCAAACAGTTTCCTGAAATTTTCCTCTGGATTGTTCTCTAGATCATTTTCAGAGGTATGCTCTTTGTCTTCCTTGTGGTATTCCTTTTTCCCTGTCCTGTAGCATGTCTTCATATAGTCTTCATTGAATTTTCTCTTTATTACTTAAACATGTGTTTGATGAGGTGTGTTTAGCTTACCTATATGGCATAGATTGTCTTTCATCCTACATTTGTGTAATGGAGAACTCCATCTTAAACCATATCTGGAAAGCAGATAGAGAAGCACAACTGCCACTCAGATTACTTTTCTGTTTGGCTTTCATGCAGCATTTCCTTGCTCTGCTAATGTGGCTTCTTCTTCATTGCCTGGTTCTCTAATACACTGAAGCTATAGAGTGTATGAAATGCAGGTTTCCTACATATACTATTAACAGATTTGTTCATTCTTTGATTTTTCTCCGCCTACGTTTCTTCACTTGGGGAGACTACATCCCGCAGCATGCACTGCGGAGTGGTCCTACCACCTCCTCGTCATACTTGCCCACTTGTTTTCTGAGATTTGAAATCACTGCCTAGATGTTAAAATATTAGGGGAGGGAGATTACAGGGAATGGAGAGGAGGCCTCAGAGATAAAAGAGATCATATCGTAGTTTGTCCATCTGAATAGCAGAAGAGAACAGCGTGCAGTTCTGGTAGTTGAGGCAATGGAAACTTGAGACTAGGGACAGTGAAGGCTAAGAGGGCCAGCTCTGAAGCACCTTCCCTTCTTTGTTACGGGCAGTTTTGTAAAGCAAAGTCAGGAAATGCAACGAGGGGATAACTAATACAGTTTTTCTTCTCAGTCTGACAGTTATAATTAATGTAATTTCCTTCCTGATGGAAGTATTAAGCTTTTGGAGTTTTAAATTTTCACCTTTGTTCTACCCTGTACTGTTATGTTAGTGAGAAGCTAGAAGAAGATACATTGGGAGTTTTAATTCAGAAACCATTTTGAATGCTACATTATGCTAGTGATTTTCCTTTCAGCGAAATAGATAATAAATTCATTATCTTACTTTGTATGTGATAACTACCTTTTTGTGCACTTTTTTCAGGCCATGCACAGATTGTCCATCTCCTTTTAGAAAGAAATAAGTCGGGAACTATCCCATCTGACAGCCAAGGAGCAACACCCTTACACTATGCAGCTCAGAGTAATTTTGCTGTAAGTAAAACAAGACAATTCCCTTTTTTCTTATGTTTTTATTTTGAGATAATTATAGATTAATAGGCAATTATAAGAAATAACACAGTAAGATCCCATGGAGCCTTCATCTAGTTTACATGAATGATAGCCTATAGTTCAATATCATAAACAGGAAATTGACATTGATACAATCCGCTGATCTTATTCAAATTATACCAGCTTTACATACACTGATTTGGCTGTATTTGTGTAGCAGTTATCTTTTAACAGTTGTTCATCTGTTACCTCTCACTGTGATGCAAGTGGCAATCTGAGATTTTGTAAAGTTGTTAGTCACATAGGAAGTATTATACAGCTTTTAATGTTCAGTGTAACATTTTACTTTATTATAACAGTACTTCATCTTTTTGTTACTTTTATAGCACTAATGACATCTTAGTGTTCAGAAATTTGTAATTGTCCTAAAAGAAATGTGGCAAGGCTTTGTAACTAGAAGAACCTTGGCTAGAATCTTGTCTGTGCAATTTGCTAAGCTATATGACCTTACACAAGTTTCTTAACCTCTCTGAGTCTTAGTTTCTTCATATGTAAAATGAGGATAATTATACCTTTTCTTTCAGGATTATTGTAAAGATTAGAGAAAATTTTTGACAAATGCCTACTGTATACATTGGCATAGAGCAGGTACTTGAGAAACAGAATGTGTTCTTATTATTACTAGTGCTAATAATTATGTGTATTATACATCTGAGAATGCAGAAATGAATTATTTCCAAAAATACTGAATATTAATAGGTCTTCCTTTACAGTCCTTTACAGTTTACAAAGCACTTTCTCATCCCTTATGTCCTCAATCCACTCAGCAGCATGATAGTGTCTAGAGCTTCCTGAGTATGAAGGACCACCAAGAACCAGAGATTCATCTACCAAGGCACACGTTAAAACAGATTTTGCTGCCATGTACGTGGGTGTGCATAGTGAAACCTTTGGTTTCATTAAATTATAATAATATCATCAGCATAGTGTAATTTCATCTTTCTGATCTCTCCAAATGCTCTTTTGAATACTCAGATTGCTAAAATATCTTATTTTCACACCCTCTTACTCTGGTATTCAGAACAAGTATAGCTGTCATCCTTCCTTCTTGGCATTCCTAAAATGTATTCAGTTTATCACCTAGAGCTTGACAAACCATTATCTTCTATTATCTCCCAACATTTCAGAAAAATTCAAAGTAGTATTTTGGAGAGAAGCTCTTTCTTGTTACAAATAGATAAGAAATCCAATTGGCCTAGTCTAGTCAATCTATGGAAATCAGAACTCAATCCATAATTCAACACAAGCCTATAAGTTGTGTTATCCTATGGTTTTAGATATTAAAAAAAAAAAACAAGGTTCTAAGAGATTGAATGATTTGCCCATGACCTTGAACCCAAGTCCTAGACCATAAATTTAATATGTGTATGGATGCCAATAATTAAATAATTGTGCTAATGGGGGTAAGAAAAAAGGGCGGAATGTTATGGATGTTTATTAAAATATTTTCTTTAGATAATATGCCAATTCCAGAGTTGATTTTTAATAATTATGAATATTTTCTAAGCTCAATTTTAAGCCCATGATCTCCTTGTCCTCTATTAACTCACAAGAGTTTATAACTCTCTTTTTGAAACACACACATACACACAATCCTGCAAACATTCATCAGTAAGAAAAAATATACTCAACAAAGAAATGTTTGCAAATTAGTAAAAGAAAACAAACCAAAAAATCACAAACTTTTAAAATTTATTTAAATATACAGAATAGGCGTAAACATGAGACCTTAGGAGCATTAAGCTATTATGCCTCAGTAACTGAACAAATAGTTTTAAGACTAGAAAGTGGTGGAAAGAAGGCTGTGATTTAACTCTGAGTTCTATTCCTTTATCTGCCACCAATATTTGTATGACTTTGAACCTAAATTTCTTCATCTGTAAAGTGAGGGCCTAGATTTAGATAAGCCCTTGAATTCTTCTTATAAAATACTAAGAGTCAACATTTGATATATTTTTGATCAGTTAACAGCCTCCAGAAATTTTTATCTGAAACTCCTCCATTCAAGAAAAAGTTTCTATGATCTTCCTAAAAGTTTATGTGAATCTCAGTTCTGAGGAAAGAGGCAATTTAAAGTGCTGGATTATTAACCCCCATTAAAATTGTCAAGCACTAATAGAATTGTCAAGGGTCCTAATTTTTATATGATTCCATAGAATAAGGACCTTGAGTATAGGAATTGCTGAATAAATATTTGTTTAAATGAATTAAACACTGCATTTCTCAGTGACTATCAGTCAGGATTCATTAAATACATTGACCATTGTTAAAACCCTTCTCTGATGGCATGCCAGAATATATGGGTCTCTGCATAAAAAAAAGTTAAGAAAATGTATATTTTAATTTTTTCCATTAATAAATAAATAAAACACTGAATAATTCTGAATCTTCATCTCTCTAACAGTGACCTACAAAGTTTTCAAGCTTGATTGAAGATGATCATTTTAAATTTTGGGGACATTAAATGTGGGAGCTAGCTTATACTTTTGAAGTATTACGGAAACTAAAACTAAAATATAAGTACAGAGGACTTATTTTTTATTGAAATTGTAGTTGTTGTTATTCATAGAAAGATAATTTCATTTGACTCAAAAGCAGGGGGAAAATATCTTGCTTCTTAGTGGAATTCAAATAAAATGGTGGTTTTGTTACCATAGAAAACGTTATTCTTTTTTCTCAATTTTTTAAATCAAGTTTTCTTACAGGAAACAGTTAAAGTATTTTTAAAACATCCTTCAGTGAAAGATGATTCAGACCTGGAAGGAAGAACATCCTTTATGTGGGCAGCTGGGAAAGGCAGTGATGATGTCCTTAGGACTATGCTGAGTTTAAAATCTGACATTGACATTAACATGGCAGACAAATACGGAGGTACAGGTAAGAACTAGTAGTCAGATTTAATTTACCTTCATTCAGGTTCCAAAATGTAGGTGGAGCTATAAAACTTATAAAATAATAACTTGAAATCATTGTTCCTAATCTAATTTTATTCGACCTTGATCTTCAGTTTTTAAGTTTGAGTTTGCCAGGATATCTCTCCAAAGGCTCTATGTCTTTCAAGTATTATGGCTAAAATTAGCATATGCTTCTCCCAGGTAAATTATGGCATTTGGTTTAAAATCCTGGTTGCTCCTTAGACCTGATTATTGGAACTCTTCTGATCATTTATCTTTGTGTAAAAAACAAAACAACAACAACAAAACATACTTTAAAACTATGCATTTTTACATTTAGTGGTTATTAATTACAGTTTTAAAAATTTAGAATTATATTTTAAGGCATGCACACATCTAAGTGTGTTCTCACCAGTCTCATTTACTATGCTTTTTTCCTTGGGTTTCGGTAGCATTACTGTATCCCGACTCAACCAGTTTTAGAGATAACCCCCCATGACTCAGAAGCTTCAAAGCTTGGAGTCAGCCTAGCATCAAGCTCTTACTAGACACTGCTTTTAATCTCTTTCTCTGATAAGAGAGGCCTTTAACCATGTATTGGCTAATAAGAGTTATGAAGATTTTTAGCCTTCAATGTTCACTTGGAGGTCTCTTCCTTGTGTACTGTATCCTAATTACAAGTCAGAAAGAGAAGGAAAAATCATACACCAGCACAATAACACTGAACAGAATAAAAATTCAGTGATGAGCTTCTGAATACTATGTTTTTATATTTGTAGACACATACTAGGGAGAAAGCAAAAGGGGAGTTGCTACACTTAATAATCTCCCTACTGAGACTACCATACTCTCCAAATTATTTTTTTAAAAGAAGAGTGTTTAGGAAATTCAATTTTATAGTAAAGGCTTTAACTTTAATATGATCATTAATCCTATCTTTTACTTCATTGAAATTTTGTCTGTTTTTTTAACTTGACATTGAAATTATTTGTCTAAAATATCAGAGTATCTATTTCATACATGATGCCACATCACAGAATTGTAGCATTTCAGAATGATAAGTTACCTTAAAATTAAATCTAGCCCAGGTTTTCCAAACCATGTTCTCCAGAACAACAAATTTCTGTGGAAGTTCCTGACGTGCTGCTCAGAGAGTAGACGGTCAAGTGGCATAACCTTTCACCTCTGATTGAGTCAGAACCACTCAACTTTTACTTGTTTTATATGTTGAGTGTTTTATAAAGTTTCATTTGGCTGGGGAACGGGTTTTTATGCTCATAAAATGTGAAAATCACTGAATTATCACAGACATATGTCATGTTTTCATCTGCCTTATAACATTTTCACCAATGGTCCTTTAGCCTTTGGTTAAGAAACTCCAATATAGCAAACTCCATCTTAAACTAACTCTATGGGAATGTTCTTCCTTGTACTGATCCAAAATTTGTCAAATTGAATGTTCTACTCTGTGCTCTTTTCCACATGATGGCACTGCAAATATTTGAAGTTGCTCATACCCATCTCAATCTTGTGTAGGTCAAACTAACATTCAGCCATTTAAGTCAGTGGTTCTCAAATGCAAGAATGCTTAAGAATTACTATGGGTGTTTGTTTAAATGCAGATTTCCGGACTATACAGCAAGTCCTGTTGACTCCACCTCCAAAACATACTCTAAATTTTTGTGTTTCTCTCTATGTCCACTCCTGCCACCCTAGTTCAAACCACCATTTTCGTTTTTCACTTTTCATTCAGTCTACTGCAATAGTGTTTACTGGTCTCCCTGCTTGTATTCTAATCTACTGCAGTACATTCTCCTCAGAACAGCTAGAGTGATCTATTTAAAGCATAAATCAGATAGTATCACTATGCCATTTAAAACCTTTCAGCTGGGTATGATGGCTCACACCTGTAATCCCAGCACTTTGGGAAGCTGAGACAGGAGGATTGCTTGAGCCCAGGAGTCCTAGACCAGCCTGGGTAAAATGACGAGACCCTGTCTATACAAAATAAAAAATGAAAAAAACTTAGCCAGGCATGGTGCCACATACCTGTAGTCCCAGCTACTCAGTAGTCTGAGGCAGGAGGATCAGTTGAACCCAGGAGTTCAAGGCTACAGTGAGCAATGATTGTGCCACTGTACCCCAGCGTGGGTGACACAATGAAATTCTATTAAAAAAATAAAACATTTTTTAAAATCTAAAAAAATAAAACCCTTCAGTGTCTTCCATTACTCTGACCTATATGGAAATATTGTGATCTGCCCTTTTTTACCATTTAGACTTACCTCACTCTCACTTAACTGTGTTGCAGATACCCTTGCCTTCCTTAAATACATAAAGTCATTATTAAAGTCATTATCAACAGTCCTATATTAACTGCTCCCTTTGCCCAGAATACTCTCTCATTTTTTATGATTCAGGTTTTATCTATCTATTTATTTTTTGAGACAGGGTCTCACTGTGTTACCCAAGCTAGAGTGCAGTGGCACTATCATAGCTGCCCGCAGCCTTCAACTCCTAGGCTCAAGAGATCTTCCTGCCTCACAGCCTCCTGAGTAGCTGGGATTATAGGTGTGTGCTACCACACCTGGCTAATTTTTCCATTTTTGTAGAGATAGTTGCCCAGGCTGGTCTTAAACTCCTGGCCTCAAGCAAGCCTCCAACCTCGGCCTCCCAAAGTGCTAGGATTACAGGTATGAGCCACTGCACCCAGCCTAAGTCTCAAATTAAATATCAGCTCCCTGCAAAGCTTTCTCTAACCATCAATCAAAAGTATTCCCCCAGTCACTTTACATATCAAAATACCATTTATTAATTTAGTTATACTATTCATCATTATCCAGTGCTTTATTGATTGGGAGATTTGTTTTGTTTTGCTTTGCTTCCCCTGCTAGAATGTAACCTTATCTATTTTGTTCCCTGCTAACCTCCCAGCATCATGATAGTATCCAGCCCCAAATTCTGCATTTTTATAGGTATCCCTGCTTTGCTACATGGATTACCCTTTATGAAAAATACGCTATTCAAAGTGTTATAGAACCATAATACCTAGAACTGGCCCAGGCCTCTAAAGTGTTAACATGGCTCCTTCAAACCTAAAGGGTGATGGCATAAGTAAAACGGTACATGGAGTAACGTAGGCAGGAGTCAGTGTAACACAAAACACATGTACTCAAAATTACCTTTTAAAAATATTTAGGAAGGCAGCAGAGAGGAGGCCGCATTTCATCTCTCAGTTCTTACTCCAATGTTGAGATGAATTGCTATTTCTTAAATTGAGCCCTGAAGAAGTAGCTGGCTTGCATTTGGAGCCATGTTGGATGAAAAATGCACTCAATCCAGCAAGATGTATGTGCTTTCAGTACCACGGGGTACACATTCCAACCAAAGGAATAGCACATGTAACCAAGAGAAGGAATGGTGGATTGGCATCTCTAGTCACATACCCCTTAGAGGCATATGCTTATTGGGTGAGTTGGTGGGCAGAATTGCCTACACCATTTAAATCATTTCTCTTTGTTGTTATTTGTTCTCTTGCTCTCTTTTTTTTATTATTATTTTTAATTTTTTTTTTTTTTTGCAGAGTCTCACTATTGCCTAGGCTAGAGTCAGCCTAGCTCACAGCTACCTCAAACTCCTGGGCTCAGGCGATCTTTCTCCCTCAGCCTCCAGAGTAGCTGGGACTACAGGAATGTGCCACCATGCCCGGCTAATTTTTTTTATATACAGTGTTTCCCCAAAAATAAGACAGGGTCTTATATTTATTTTTCCTCAAGAAGACACCCTAGGGCTTATTTTCAGGGGTTGTGTTATTTTTTTTTAAGTACGGTACAACAATCTACATTTATTCAAATATAGTTAAGTCATCGTCTTCTGGAACATCATCATAGCTCTCCAAACCCCGAATTCCATCCTGAATTTCTTGCAACTCTATTTCCTTTAGAACCATTGATCCCAATCTCTCATATCGAGCAATAGAGCTCTCATGGGGCAGATGAGAAGGGCTTGCTGTCTTCTTTACCGCTCCTCGATGAAATGCATGGGTTGGGCAGATACGCTGTGTAGCCACGCCCATCATTAAGTCTTATTTTGGGGGTAGGGGTTATATTGCGCAAATGCTTAGAAATCCTGCTAGGGTTTATTTTATGAGTAGGTCTTATTTTTGGGGAAACACGGTATATATTTTAGTTGTCCAGCTAATTTCTTTCTATTTTTTTAGTAGAGATAGGGTTTCGCTCTTGCTCCAGCTGGTCTCAAACTCCTGAGCTCAAATGATCCGCCCACCTCAGCCTCCTAGAGTGCTAAGATTACAGGCATGAGCCACCACGCCTGGCCTGTTCTCTTGCTCTCTTGAAAGAGAAAGAAATAATAAACTAGTAACTGAGACCAACAGGATGGAAAGGAAGAAAACAGCAAGAAGAGAAAGGTAGAAGGGAAGGTGGGAAGTGTGATTAGTATTAATACATATGAGTAGGAAGGAAGATAGAAACCTATAAAAGTGAAAAATAACCTAGAGGATCCTTAAGACTGTGGTTGCTTTTAGCCAAAATAACGAGGAAATCAAGAGAGGAAAAGATACATAGTTAGAATCATAAAAAGGGAAAGTTGTCAAAGAGTTTGTCACTTCCTTTTGCTTCCTTTTTAGCTTTACATGCTGCTGCTCTTTCTGGCCATGTCAGCACAGTGAAGTTATTATTGGAAAATAATGCGCAAGTAGACGCTACTGACGTCATGAAACACACTCCACTTTTCCGAGCCTGTGAGATGGGACACAAAGACGTTATTCAGACACTCATTAAAGGTCAGTTAATAAGAGTACCCCTAATAAGTCACTCTCAAAAGGTCGGAATTCTTGCATGCTCTGTTAGAAATAAAGCTTTATATAACAAAGAGAAAGAGCCGCATGGGTAGAAGGATGAAGGGAAGAGCATCCAACCTGGCATCAGGAATCTCGAGCTCTGCTCCAGTTTTTGGGAGTTGATTTTAGAATATTCATTTTACCTGCCTGATGCTGTTTCATTTTACGTGAATGGGAGTGATTCCTACCCTTACCAATTTATAGGCTTGTTGTAAAAATCTGAAGTAGACAATGTATGTGGAAGCATATGATAAGAGTAAAGTATTTAAGGCAGTGGTCCCCAACCTTTTTGGCACCAGGGACCAGTTTCATAGAAGACAGTTTTTCCATGGACCTGGGGGGTATGGTTTCGGGATGATTCAAGCGCATTACATTTATTGTGCACTTTATTTCTATAATTACTTTGTAATATATAATGAAATACGCAACTCACCATAATGCAAAATCAATGGGAGCCCTGACCTCGTTTTCCTGCAACTAATGCCGCTGCTGATCTAACAGGAGGCAGAGCCCAGGCAGTGATGTGAGAGATGGGGAGCAGCTGTAAATATAGATGAAGTTTCACCCACTCACCCGCAGCTCACCTCCTGCTCTGTGGCCCGGTTCATAACAGGCCATGGACCGGGACCAATGCACAGCCCAGAGGTTGGGGATCACAGATTTAATGGACTATGTTTTTTAACTTATATTCTTTTTGATAGATTCTATCTATATTAGACATTTTCATTATATTTTTGCTATTCCAGGTGGAGCAAGGGTAGATCTAGTTGACCAAGATGGACATTCTCTGTTACATTGGGCAGCACTGGGAGGAAATGCTGATGTTTGTCAGATATTGATAGAAAATAAGATCAACCCCAATGTGCAAGATTATGCAGGAAGAACCCCTTTGCAGTGTGCTGCATATGGAGGATATATCAACTGCATGGCAGTGCTCATGGAAAATAATGCAGACCCTAACATTCAAGACAAAGAGGTAGGAATTCTGGGTCTTTTCTATATGAAGTTTGCTTGAAAGTGTTATAGAGTATTTCTTCTTTGTTGTACACTTAAGTGAAACCACAGTTTATCAAAATGAAGAGATCACCCACAAATCCATCTGTTAATTATGAATTTTATTTGTCCATGTTCTCTTCTAGTCCTTTTCTGTATGATATATAATTGAACATAGTCATAACAGGGAATAATTTTATAACTTTTATAAAAGATTGCACAGCATATATATGTGTATATATAAACATATAATGTGATTCTTGAAACATTTTGTTTGTTTACTTAAAATTATCACCATTTTCTCATTTGGTATATAATCTTTTTCATAATCATGAATGCTTAATATTCCAAAGTTCTAAGAACTTTATGTTTAATAGCTCATTCAATCCTCACAGCAACTCTATAAATAGTTAGTATTATTATTACCATTTTACAGATAAGGGTATTAAAGCTCATGTAGTTTATCACCCTAAAGTGATAACAGCTTGGCATAAAGGAATCAAGATCCAAACTATGCCTTTAATCCAGATTTTAGAATAAAATAAGTAAACTATTGCTGAATGCTTTTTCATTAAGATTTGTTTATTGCAAAGAGAAACAAGAGCATTGCTTTTTCATTATTATAGATAATGTTTCAATAATCATCTTTGTGCATTTAACTTTTTTTAGATTATTCCTTTAGAATAATTCCCCCAATTGAGATTACTGAATCAAAGAATGGCATATGAATGTGATTAGGCTCTGATATATACTACCAAACTGATTAAAAGATATAGGTTAGTGCTTGCTTCGGCAGCACATATACTAAAATTGGAATGATACAGAGATTAGCGTGACCCTGCACAAGGATGACACGCAAATTGGTGAAGTGTTCCATATTTTTGTATGTAACCTTAACATTTGTATCCCCTTATTATGCTGAAATAAAAATTTTTAAAAATCTGAAAAAAAAAGATATAGGTTAATCTATACATCCCTATGTAGTAATGTACTAATTTCTCTCAATTTAGTCAGTAGTGACCTTTTTTTGCTATTTTAATTATTTTAATCTTGTATATTATTTTTTCCAAGTCAGAAGATATATTCCCTATTAATTCATTCAACAAATATTTATCAAAATTGTTACCATGTAAAAAAAGTAACATAATGAAAAATATATATGGTCCTTATCCTTGTGTAATTAAGAATGTGTGGTTTATAGTTTATAATACCTTTTATATTTTACCAAGTTGCCAGTGTTGCCAGATTGTTTGTAGATAATAAGTAGTATATTAAACTACTATCTGGTTCTATTAATTTTTATGTGTATTGTTTTGAATTATCTATATAAATAATCATGCTGTCTGTGAATAATAACATTTTTATTTCTTCATCCTAAAGCCTTTCATTTCTTTGTCTTGCTTTATTGAGCTAGCTAGGACCTTCAATACAGTGTTGAATTGGTGATAGTAGGCACCCTTAACTCATCCTGGCTTCTCAGAGGGCAAGCTTTCAATATTTTGCTATTGAGTATGATGTTTGCTAAAGGTTTTCTTATATTACTAATTGCTAAGAGTTTTTTAAAGTCACAATTAGGTTCTTGTCAAATATTGTTTATGCATCTATCAAGAAGATCATATTTTTTTTCCTTCTTTTTCTATTACTATGGTGACTTACATTGATGTTTTGCAGATGTTAACACACCCCTGCTTTCCTGGAGTAATCCCCACTTATGTTGTGTTATGTACTTTTATAGATTGATGATTTTATTTACTAATATTTTAAGATTTTTACATCTATGTTCCTGAGAGAGATGGGCCTATAATTTTCTTCTTGTACTGTACTTGTTGGATTTTGGAGCAAAATAATGCTGACCTTATAAAAAGAGTTAGGGAGCAGTCCCTCGTTTCCTATTCTCTGAAAGAATTTATGTACAATTAATTGGTACTATTTCTTTTAAAATGTTTGGAAGAATTCCCTATGGAAGTAATCTGGTCTTAGGGTTTTCTTTGTGCAGAAGTTTTTAATAACTGGATTCAGTTCCATTAACAATTACAAGACAATTCAGATTTCCTAATTATTTTTCTTTCAGCTTTGGTAAGTTATATTTTTTGAGGACTCTACCCATTTTATTCAAAATGTCATATGTATTTTCATCTTATCTTTCTTATGTCTGTAGGACCTGTAGTGATTTTCTCATATTTATTCCATCTATTGGTAATGTGTTTTCTATTTTTTCCTTAATTTTTCATCTAGCTTATTCAGTTCTTCAAAAGACTTTCTATATTTTGAATTTTTTTACTATTTTATTGGAGTTTGCTCTTATCTTTATTATTTCCTGGCATTACTTTCCTTAGGTTTGATTTACTAATTTTTTTAGATTCTATTGATGAAAGTTTAAGTCATTGATTTTATTTAAATATTCTTTTCTAATATATGGATTAAAGTATGCTTCTTTTAAGCACTGCTTTAGCTGTATCTTACAAGTTTGGTTAAGTTGTACTTTCACTTTCATTCAGTGCAAATAGTTTCTATTTTGATTTATTCTGTGATGCATGGATTATTTGAAGTGTACTGTTTAATTTCCAGGCTGTTGGGCATTTTCTCGTTATCTTTTTGAATTGATTGTATTAGTTTCCTCTTGCTACTGTAACAAACATAGTGGCTTAGAGCAACACATATTTTTTTTTTTTCTGTTCTGGTTATCAGAAGTCCAGAATGGTTCTCACTGGGCTAAAAATCAAGGTGTTGGCCGGGCTGCATTCTTTTGGAAGCTCTCTAAGGGAGAATTCATTTCCTGGACTTTTCTAGCTTCCAGAGGCTGCTGACATCCCTCGGTTCATGGCCCAGGTCCCCCATCTTCAAAGCCACAATGGTCAGTTGAGTCTTCCTCTCAACTGTATCACTCTGACACTCACCCTTCTGTCTCTGTTTTTCCCTTAGAAGGACCTTTGTGACTATATCAGACATACCCAGATAATCCAGGATAATCTCCCCATCTCAGCATCACTTTATCAGCAACCTTAATTCTACCTTAACTCTCCTTTTCCATGTAACATAACATACTTACAGGTACCAGGGATTGGATGTGGACATCTTTGCAGGGGAGCGCATTACTTTTTTGAGACTTTCTTTATGGTCTAGCATATGATTGATTTGAGTAAATGTTCTGTGTACACTTGAAAAGAGTACTAATTCTGCCATTGTTGGATAGGGCCAATTTCTTAATTGTGTTCTTTAGGTCTTCTTTATCTTTGCTGGTGTTTTGTTGGTTCTATCAACTATTATAAAAGATGGGTTAAACTCTCCCACTGTGATTATGGATTTGACTGTCTCCCTTTAAATTTTGTCAATTTTTGTCCTATATAAACTGTGATTATTAGATGCATACAGATTTAGGATTGTGATAGTTTTCTCTTTAACTCCTTTAACACTAGGAATATCCCTCTTTACCCCTGCAATGCTTTATCCCTTTTTTTTCTTTCATGACAGTGAAAATTTTTAAGAATCAGGCCGTTTATTTTATAGAATTTGACTCAATTTGAGTTTGTCTTATGTTTTGTCCTAATCAGCTTCATATTTCATGGTTTTGGTTAGAATATCACATAGGTGATACTGAATCCTTCTCGAGGTATCACCTCTTGACACATATGATGCCTCTCAACATAGCATTAATTATAATCACTTGGTTAAGATGCCATTCATTTTCTCTACTATATACTTAATATTTTACCTTTTTGTAATTAATTTGAGGAGGAAATACCTTATATTATTGAGTTAGCATAAATAACCATATGTCCAAAAATACTTACTCCAGATGTACTTGATTTTTGTTTATGCCTATAGGGAAGAACGGCTTTGCACTGGTCCTGTAACAACGGATACCTTGATGCTATCAAATTACTACTAGACTTTGCTGCTTTCCCTAATCAGATGGAAAACAATGAAGAGAGGTAAACTGTGATTAAAAAAAAAAAAGAGCATAACAACGTTAATCTCACATACTGTCTGTTAGATTAAAAAAATCTCAAATTTAAATATTGGATCATAAATAAGTATAATTATATGGAAACACTACACTGATCAATTTTGAACCAGAAGCAATAAGCAAAAGTCCTTTGCAATGTTGATTTATATTCATGGGATTTATAACTATTCAGAGCTATAGCTATTACCAAAGGCAAGCTCATATTTTACAGATGAGGAAACTTTAGGCCTTTCCTGGCTTGTGGCTAACATAAGGTCAGTGAAGTCGTAACTGACCAGGACCAGGAATTCAGTTAGGCCAGAAGAATGTATTATATTCAAGAAGTTTCTCTTAATGGAGGGATATCAACAGTTAGTGAAAAACAGTTGCCACCATGTAGCATGAAAACATAAGGGGAAGCTAAAGTGAAAGTTCAGGGTTTAATATTAACATAGATTTCTTAAAAAACATAAGGTCTACAGAGTTATGCTGGGATTGTTGCCCAAGAACAAGGTCCAGTAAAAATGACCAGACACAATGTGAAGTCAAAGCAAGAGCGATTCTTGGTGGTCTTAGATCTAGGAAGATTTTTTTTTAGTAATTTGTAGGTAACAACTAAATTTGTGATCAGACTTTCATACCTGAGTTCCCTCTAGTCCAGGTCTATGTGTTAGTTTTTATTTTTTTTTTTATTTTATTTATTTTTTTTTTTATTTTGGCATATTATGGGGGTACAGATTTTAAGGTTTCAATAATGCCCATTTCCCCCTCCCCCAAAAGTCTGAGTCTCCATCATGACCATCCCCCAGATGGTGCACATCTCACTCATTATGTATGTATATACCCACCCCTCCCCCTCCCTCCCACCTGCCCAATACCCTATTACTGTAGTACCTATGTGTCCACTTAGGGCTAGTCAGTTAATACCAGTTTTCTGGAGAATATATCTGGTGTTGTTTTCCATTCTTGGGATACTTCACTTAGTAGTATGGGTTCCAGCTCTAACCAGAAGAAATTAAGATGTGCTATATCACCATTGTTTCTTAGAGCTGAATAGTACTCCATGGTATACATATACACATTTATTAATCCATTCTTGGATTGATGGGCACTTGGGCTGTTTCCACAGCCTTGCAATTATGAATTGTGCTGCTATAAACATTCGAGTGCAGGTGTCTTTTTTGTAGAGTGTCACTGGATCATTTGGGTAGATGCCCAGCAATGGGATTGCTGGGTCAAATGTGTTAGTTTTTATTGTTTATGGATGCTCTAAAGTGGCCCCTTCTATGACACTATCCCTTTCTATTAGCAGGTGGGAAACTTTATAGAGAAGGAGTGACTTCTCTAGGTCAGTTATCTCAGAGGAAACCCCTTCTTCCTCGATAGAACCAACCTCTTCCCCACTTCTTCCAGAACCTTTTCTTGTCAGTAAGAGAGCTGGAGATGCCTTCCTTTTAAACAATAACAACAACAAAAGAAAACAGGAAAGAAAGATAAAAAATCCTAAGAATTAGTTATTTGTTTCTATAAATAACTTACTTTATGTAACAGCATTTACAGTCTAACTGCTATTTTTTTAAGAAAACAATAAAAAACATTTTTGTAATTCAATTTCCATATTTATGCTAAGCCTTGAATTTCAGACCTAAGCAAGCAAGTAAGGTGTTTACTGCTTCCTGCAGTAAACATATGTTAATTGTAGACAAAAAGACCAAAGGAAATCCACCTAACTGTACTGCCAATCTATAGATAAAAAGTGACAGTGACAACATTCCAGTCTTCCTTAATGTTTCATCAACAATGCACCTTGATGTACAAATGTCAGGACTTGGCACTGCCTTTTATGTTTATTGACATTCCACTTTAGGCATTCTGCTCATCCCATCAGACTGTTCCCACATGGCAAGCCCAATTGCATCTTATCTTTTGCCTTTGTCTGCATTGTTTCTTGGCTGGTTACCGTCAAGGTTGTGCTAATTTTTACCTCTCAGGCATTAACACTAACCAGTTGATGTACATTGTATAGACATAATTTTTGCCAATTTCTGCTGACTTTCAGTCAATAACTATCTGACAGGCTCACTCTAACATCAATGGGAATATTCACAGTACTTGAATGTTTCTAAATTGAACTTGGGGTGGAGAAAGATTGAATACTAATAATCACAATGTGGTCAGTTTCTTAAACACTAGATATGGACTTCAATCTTAAAACCTTGTTAGATGTTTGGATTTTGTCTCTTTGAGAATCCTAATTTGAATAAACCAACTGTAAAAATAAATGTTGGGAGAATTCAGGAAATTTTATTATAAGTGGACACTAGGTTTTACTAAGGAATTTGTGTTAATTTTGTTAGTATAATAACATTGTGACTATGCTGATAATATTTATAAATGAATACTGAAATGCATAAAGATGAAATGATAGGTGTTCTGAGATTTGCTGTAAAATACTTTAGCAAAGATAAAATGAAGATGTTGGATAGAGCAAATGTAGCAAAAAATTGTTAAATTTGGGTGATGAGTATATAAGAGGATTATGCTATTCTCTCTACTTTTTCTTTTTCTTTTTTTTTTTTTTTACAGACAGAGTCTTGCTCTGTCTCCCCAAGCTAGAGTGCTGTGGTGTCAGCCTAGCTCACAGCAACCTCAATCTCCTGGGCTCAAGCGACCTTTCTGTCTCAGCCTCCTAAGTAGCTGGGAGTACAGGCATGCACCACCATGCCTGGCTAATTTTTTCTATTTTTAGTAGAGACATGGTATCCCTCTTGCTCAGTCTGGTGTCAAACTCCTGACCTCAAGTTATCCTCCTACCTCTGTCTCCTAGAGTACTAGGATTACAGGCGTGAGCCACCACTCCCAGCTCTCTCTACTTTTTAATGCTTGATGTTTCTCATAATAAAAAAAGATTTTTTATAATAAAAAAATTACAATACAATTTTTAGCCCAGAAGCAGCCTGAGAGATCTAGTTCTTCCCTTCTTCTTTACCACTTTTACAGATGAGGAAACAGAAACTCAGAGAAGTTAAGAAAATGTCCAGGGCCACATAGGTACTCTGACTCGTAGTCCAGCACTTTAGGGTATAATATGGAACATGTTATTCCTTTTGTCATATTTGTAAGTAAAGGCATAGTTTGGGCCTTAAATTTCATGAGCCAGATTTTGATGATCCTGCTTATATACTAGGGAAAAGACACTATTTATTAATAGTTATAGAAAAAATTATCAAGCTTACTAAATATATATGTTATTTGCATACTGATTTTAGAAACAGTTTTATTCTATAGGAAACATATTCAATAATTGATACGTGTGTTGTAGAAGAGTTATAGAAGTGGGAAATGTGATCTTAGTTCTAGTCTACATTCTGTAGACAGTAGTTATAGGTTATTAAATATGAAATGTCTGATTTCGAATCAAAAGTTTAGTTTATTATATCTTAAACAAGAAGCAGTACAGTTAGTCAAAGTATGCACCTAAACTATCGACACAATTTTGCCATCTTAACAGTAGCTTGTTTATACCAGCAGCCAAGAAGCCTGGAGAGTGAGTGGTGATGAAATCGCCAAAGGCGTTTTCCACAGCTTGTTGAGAATTGAATCCTTTTGTTTGCAAGAAGTAAGTGGTCCAAAACCACTGAAGAAGTGGTAGTCAGTTGGTGCAAGGCTAGTGAATACAATGGATGACAGAGAGTTTCCAAATCCAGCTTGTGTACTTTCAGAAGCGTTTTTTGTGACATGAGGTCTTGCAAGAGGATTGGCTTGTCTCTTGACACCTCTGCTTAATCACAAGCATCCTCATCATTTCGTCCAGTTGGTTGCCGTAGACATCCGCTGTAATGGACTGGCCAGGTTTCATGAAGCTGTAGTGGATAATACCAGCACTAGACCACCAAATAGACACCATTAGCTTTTTTTGATGAATATTCGGTTTTGGACTATGTTTCAGCACTTCAACCTTATCCAACCATTGTGCCAAATGCTTGCAGTAGTCAAAAAGAATCCATTTTCATCACCTATAACAACATGGTGTAGAAATGGTTCACCTATATGTTGTGACAGCAAAGAAAGACAAGCTTCAAGATGTTTTCTCTTTTGACACTCATTTAATTCACACAGAACCCATCTATATAGCGTCTTTACTTTGACCATTTGTTTCAAATGGTTCAACATTGTTGGAATAGTGATGTCAAACCTTGCTGCTACTTCATACATAGGTTGAGATGGATTTGCTTCCACTACAGTTTTCAGCTCATCATCATTATCCACCTTGGTCTCAGGTCACCCACATGGCTCATTTTCAAGATTAAAATCACCAGAATGGAACTTCTCAAACCATCGATATACTGTGTGTTCATTAGCCGCATCCTTCTCAAATACTTTGTTAATGTTTCAAGCTGTCTGCTCTGCATTGGTTCTACAATGGAACGCATATTTAAAAAACACAAATTTTTGACTTATCTATGGTTTCACAAAAATGGCTCCAAGAAAAAATTGAAAGATAATCACAAGCCAAACCATACATTTGAAAGAATGAGGATGTACCTTCACACACACACACACAAAAGTGTCAAAGTGAAATGTCAGAGGTAACAACCATCAAACTTAATACTTAAGGAAATTAGACATTCCATACTTAATAACCTAAATACATAACCTTTGGCAAGTTGCTTAACCTTTCTGAGTCTGCTTATTCGTTTGTAAAATGAAGATATTGAACTAAATGACCTCTAAAATTCAATTTAACTCCACTATTGTGTTGTTTGATGACTCTATAATAATTTTCCATTAGAGAAAAGTACAGTCATGAAAGGCATTGTAGAATATATGATAAAATTTTTTTAATTCTTCTGAATTTACAAAATGCTACCTACTGATAAATAATGTTTTAAAATTTATATAGGTACCTCTACTTATAACTCTGGTTCCCGAACAATAATGGCAAATTGAGCTATCCTAGTATGGGGGTTCCTTAATGTCAGCATTTGGGGCTTCCTCCCAAACTCATGGTTTCCTTATTCAAGTGACCAAACCTCCCTTAGACTGGAAGCCTCTTCCTTTCACCTCTTAATGTGACTGTTAGGTGAGTTTTAAAGAGAGATCATTTCTTTTCTGTAATCATTGGATGGTCTTCTGTGTTTAATCATGCATCTATATAATCATCATATTTTCCACCTCATAAATCACCTGATTATTTTCCCCTAACACCTCATTTTACTGGACTAGTCACAGTCACCCAATAGGAACCAGAATCAGTGGCAGTCATTAGGTGGTCATAAACACGAGCTTGGTCCTATGGAAATAATATTTATGGTAAGCAACTATGGTATCACAAACCAAGCAGCGATGCTGACATTTATCATCTGCTTGCTGTGTGGCCTCACACGGCTGTCCTCTTTACATGTATATTCCATTGTCTCCACATGCCAAGTCTGTGTAAAACATGAGAAAAGCTGGGGCTTAGAATCATCACGTAAGTTGTTTAAAAAGTGACAGTCATCACTCCCATTGTTGGGTGGTAGAATTGGAGGGATTTTTTTTTCTGCTTCAATTTTTGTACTTTTTTGCAAAGTTTGAATTCTTAACATACCATTTTTACAAAGTAGTCAGTTTTCTTTGAAAGAAAAGAAACCGTATCTGCCAAAATATTAACAGTGGTTTGTTCTGAGGGTGGGAGTATAAATGATGGTTTATTTTCTTCTGTTTATCCAATTTTTTGTATTTTCAAAAATAAAAAAGATAAAAAAGGAATTTGCCTAAAATCGCACAAGTAGAAAGGAGCCAATTGAAAACATATAACTATGACAATACCACCTATCTTTTCTAAATAATAATTTATCAAAAAGGTGATGTATGCACACTGAACAAAATTTCAAAGGGGGGCCAGGTGTGGTAGCTCACGCCTGTGATCCTAGCACTCTGGGAGGCCAAGGCAGGAGGTATTGCTCAAGGTCAGGAGTTCAAGACCAGGCAGAGCAAGAGCGAGACCCCGTCTGTACTATAAATAGAAAGGAAATTAGCCAAAATTTCAAAGGGCATTCAGTGAACACTAAATGTCTTTTCTATCCCTGCCTCTGGGACGACCAGTTTCTTCTCCAGAGGCTTCACTGTTCCAGTTTCTTGGGAAACTTCTGGAGATATTTTTTCATAAATAAGGATGTAAGGATATATTCTTTTTCATACACTTGGAACGTGCCACAATAACTCCTCTGTTTCTTACTTTTTTCTTTTTCTTCATTTAACAAGAAATCCTGGAAATTGTTCGTTGTTTATTCACATGCAACAGTAATGGCTGCCTTAAACAGGTGACTTCATTATACTGATGGCCTGTGCTTTATTTAACCAGTCCTCTGTTGATGGCTATTGAAGCTTTTTCCATTCTTTTGCAAAGACAAACTGTGCCTCTATGAATATCCTTGTACTTAAAGCATTTCATACATGAGAGCAGATCTATAGGATAGATCTGCCTGTAAGTGAAACAGCTACTTCAGTGTGCATATACATGAATAATTTTTATTGATATTATCAAATTGTCCTTCCTAAAGGTAAAAGTAGTGTATGAGAGAGCTTATCTCCCTCTGTCCTTGCCAGTGCATTGTGTAACTAACCTTTCTGATCTTTGCTAATTTGATAATCAGTGAAAAATACTCTCTCATGTTAGTCTTAATTTGTATTTCTCTTAAATGAGTAAGGTTGAACATATATTTATATGTTTACACGCCATTAGTATTTGCTGTTCTGTGAACTGTCTATTATCTTTGTTTCTTGTTTGTTTGTTTGGGGAGTTTTGGGGTTTTTTTGAGACAGGTCTTGCTCTGTCACACCAGCAGTAATAGAGTGCAACAGCATGATCATAGCTCCCTACAACCTGAAACTCCTGGGCTCAAGCAATCCTGCCTCAGCCTCCTGAGTAGCTGGGACTATAGGCATGCACCACCACACCCATCTAAATTTTCTATTTTTTACCGAGATGGGGGTCTTGCTCTTGCTCAGGCTGGCCTTGAATTCCTGCCCTCAAGCAATCCTCCTGCCTTAGCCTCCAAAAGTGCTAGAATTACAGACATGATTGTCCCAACACTATTTGTTTAATAATCCATCTTTTCTGCATCGATTTAAAGGGCCATCCTTATCATATACTAATTATCTTCATTTAGAGGCATATTTTCTATTTCTTAAGCATTAAGTATCAGTAATCATGGACTCAAACTTATGACTCTCACAGAACATTATTTGCAGTGCTTTTTCAGATAGGCACAGGGAATTATTTGACACATGGGGAAGAAGGAGAGTGATCACATGTTCCCAATAGTCCCCAATTACTCAGGAATTGACATGGTTAACAGAACAAAGCACCTGACCCCCAGCTGTATTCAAACTTGTTTTTTGCCTGTCAGAGAAAAAAGGAACAGCCCTGGCATAGAGAAGATGGCTTTGCCTGGGGAATATTCCACACTTAGAATGAAGTTTCCTTCTGTCACATAATAATATTGCCAGTTTAACTATACCTTGAATTATATTCCAAAACTTAAAAAAAAAAATCTTTCTCCTGGTTCAGGTACACACCCCTTGATTATGCTTTGCTTGGTGAGCGCCATGAAGTGATCCAGTTCATGTTGGAGCACGGCGCCCTGTCCATCGCAGCCATACAAGACATTGCTGCCTTCAAAATCCAAGCTGTCTACAAAGGGTATAAGGTCAGGAAAGCTTTCCGAGACCGGAAAAATCTCCTCATGAAGCATGAACAGTTGAGAAAAGATGCAGCTGCCAAGTAAGTTTGAGCTGTGGAGATTGTGTTCTCACCAGTCAGGGTGGAAGGGGGTGGGGGTGGGGGGCAGCAGAGGGAAACAGGAAAGAACCTGAATTACTTTTGCTGCCTACACCCGGGTCACCTCTCCCTTTCTGCTCAGCACTCCATCTCCTGGGGACTGAGGCTGCCGTGAAGAATGAAGGCCTAACCTCTCCTTGGTGGCTGTTCCTCTAGATCAGTCTCTGGTGTTTCAGCCCGGAAATAAACCACTGCCACCCCCACCCATGGCAGGGAGTCAGGGGTGGAATTGCTACCTACAGTAAGCTAAGAAATAACCTTTATTCCCACCTTTTCTGCCTTTCCAAAAGTAACTTGTGGCAATATCTAGCCTACTTTCACTAGACCAATCTAAGTCTAGTTTTCATTTGATGAAAGCAACCAACTTGTATAAATAACTTGCTCTCCTCTCCCCCATTTCTTAATAAATCTATACTAAATAAAGTAATTTATTCCAGAAGTAGTGATTGAATGCCTAATATACATACAAAATTCTTGGCTAAAGCCTAGGGAGAAAATGGCTAAAAAAAGCAAAATCCCCACTTCAGGAACTTTACATTTTTGGGGAGAATGATATAAAATATACCAAATAGCCATTTGTGCCTATTACACATTGTGATTATTTCACATAAGTGATTCATTTTAGATTATGCTTAAGTTTACCTTTTCTTTGATACCTGTGTTGGGGGAAAAAAGTATTTTAAGTAGCAGCAATGTATTGCATTAGCAAATACAAATACAAAACCTCTGATGATAAAGATGTGGACATGCAGATTCTTGAAGGATATATTCTTGACTATATCATGAATGTTTCCAACTCTTCTTCCAACTCTTCTTCCAACTCTTAAATCCTTCCACATCTTGCCTACAAGGGGAAAGCATAAGTGTAGTAAATAACCATTAGAAGTAATAATAAGCAGCAAGGTAAATGATTCCAGTGAGAAGTTAAATACCATTATGCACTGGAATGCTAATCATAATGTCAGCCTTCAGTAGATAAGATTAACAGAAACACAGCATTTTCTGTGATTCTGAAGCTACTGAAATAGATAGCATCCTAGGAAATATTCTCTTGTACTTTTTTTTCTTTTTTGGAGACAAAGTCTTACTCTGTCGTCCCAGCTAGAGTTCAGTGGCATCATCATAGCTCACTGCAACCTCAAATTCCTGGGTTCAGGCAATCCTTCTGCCTCAGCCGCCCAAGTAGCTGGGACTATAGGTGCACACCACCACAACTGGCTATGTTCTTTATCTTTTTGTAGAGATAGGGTCTCGCCTTTGCTCAGGCTGGTCTCTAACTCCTGGGCTCAAGCAATCCTCCCACCTCAGCCTCCCAGAGTGCTAGGATTAGAGGTGTGAACCACCACATCTGGCCATTGCACTCTTCTCTTAATGAGGCTCTCTTCTCTTCACTTTTGCCAAAGAATCTAGCGTTAACCTAAAAGCTTCTACACACCTCTTTTTCCAGCCTTCTCTAAAATTTGTCTGCATGTGACTGACAACTCTGAGTAGGTAATGCACATAACAGATTATCCTGAGTTGCAAATAAATAGTCTCTGCAAGGGATAGAATGTTGTATTTCCTTTTGCTGATGTTTCCATAAACTCCAATTTAATATGTGAGAATCTGCTGTTAGAATTTGAAGTCCTATCTACCTAAATAAGAGGTGGGGCTCTACAAAGGCAACATGACTGACTTTGTATGTCCCCAAAAAGGAATGTATTAATCCAAACACATTCTACCTCTTTATTAGAGAGAGGGGGCCCTAGAGTGATCCTTTCCCTTTCCAGCAGAATAGAAGATTGTGGTAAAGTAGAAAGTGACCTGGATTCAACGCCAGCCTCTGATATTTACTTGTGATGACTTGAACACAGCATTTCTCTTAGAGCCTTAATTTGTTCATCTGGAAAATATGACAGATTAGACCAGCTGATTTCTTGGCAGCTCTCTAGTTGATTTCTAGGTACCTCCAGTTCTGCAGAAACCCCTGAGTCTTTATCATTAGTGATCTGCAGACCCTTCTTCCTCTCCTTTGCCTTTGGTGGTGCCAGTGGTCTTATGCCTGGGCCTAAGAGTTTGGACTGGCCTACTATGGGATCAACTTAGAGCTGGGAACTAAGAACCTATGTGTGAGAAGATTTCATATACGGGGAAGGGGTTTAAAATATTGACATGCTTAAATAGCACAATGGTTTACATTTTTTTTTTTTCTTAACATGGACTTTTGTGATTCCCAGAGCAGAGAGTTTGAAACAACAAAGGGATCTAGGAAACATCTAGTCCAACTCCCTCTCTAGTTGTTACCCTAATTTGTTTCACTGCTATGGAAGATAGGATCTCTTTGTTATTAGTTTCTGAAGTTAATTTTTAAAAACCCTTTTAAATGGGAGCTGTGCTTACTTGTGACAGTATTTTTTAAATTTCCAAAATGGAAAAACTGTAATCTCCTTTATCTCAGTTACAATCTTTCCTTTATTGAGTGTTATTAGAAATAAACAAGTTTCTTACAGTTTAACCATTGCTTCCTACAGTCACTGTAGTATAGATCCTCAGGAGAAATATTTAAATGGTGGAGAAACTGATTGAATTTGTATTAATTTTATTTCTTAAAATTAATTTTATTTCTTAAAATTTCTTAAAATCTGAGTCAGTGTTTAATTTTGCTTTCAGTTTTTGCTTTAAGGCACAAAAATCGGAATGGTAAACTTGGTCCTTGCTGCCGCTGCATCACTGACTAAGGGGCCCGTGCACATCATGTTCCCTCAATGTCCCTTTCCCAGTTTATCACATTAGAAGGGCAGGAATCACCTTCCTTAAAGTGAGAATGTAAAAGGAACTTAATGAAACTTCAAGTGATTTCTAATTTACTGATAGAGAAACTGGGAGAGAGAAAAGTTATAGTCATGTTTTCTTAGGCAGGTATTTTAGAAAATACTATTTAAGAAATAGCCATAATCCATTTAAGATCACTTTATAACTCATGCTGCACTATGTATGTTGTTGCAAAAATGAACATTACTATAATTTTCCTGCCAAATCATACAGCTGAGTGCACACTAAAATAAGACCATGTTTATGCTGATCAGCCTTCTTTCTTGAAGCTTCCTTTCTGCTGGGTTCTTATTTCACTCTAATCTCAGATCTCCTCTAACTCTCTGACTCTCCCCTCCCAGGTCTTTTTAATTATACCATCTCCACACTGAAATCAGCCTTGAAGGCAAATTCCTTAGACTTCTAGTCATGCTATATTTTTTCTCTGGAAAATGTATCTACTCTTAAAATTTAAATTATTCCATCTCTATAGATAACCCCTTAATTTGTCTCACATCCTGACCTCCTGGAAACCTAATCCTGTATCTTCAATTGCCTACTGGACAACTCCACTTTGCTGTCCTTTTGCCACTTGCCGCCACTTTAGACCACTGGACATTTCCGTTTGCATGTTGTGCTGTCAGTGTCACTTCAGACTCGCTATGTGAAACCTAGAGCTTATCACCACAACCTGTCTTATCACGTATCTCCTTGCTAGTGCTGTCACCATAGATTGGGTTAATTCTTCCTTTGAAAAGTCTTTCATGCCTTTTTGTTTTCATTCCTCTGTACCACTCAGTATGAGCCATCATTCTTGAATACCAGCCGTGATGCCAGGTAAGACCTTCAACATTTACTTCCACTTATATTTCCAAGCCTCATTTCTCTCCACTACCATGACCTTCCCACCCCCTCATGCTTGATGTCTCAGCCATCCTGGACTTTCTTCACTTCTTCACTTGCCATGCTCTCTGGGAGACCTGAGTTGCTTTCTGGCTAGTGTACTTGATTGAGTGTGTCTCTTAGAGTTACATAATCAAGTCCTGTGTTGATCATCCAATTTGAACTCTTGTGATGCTTAAGTCCCTTCTACAGAAGGTTGTTCTTTGTCCTCAATAAGTCAAGTGACAGGGAACTCTGTACCTCCGAAGACCACACATTCCATTTGTGGAGGATTCTGTCTGGCAAGTTATTTTCTACCTTTTGGTCTTGAAGCTACTCCTTGAAGCCAAAGAGAAAAGTCTAAATCTTTCTCCATAAACCACCTTTCAGATATTTAAAGGAAGTGCTCCCGGCACTCCCTCTCCTACCGCTGGTCTCCTTTTTGGTTTATAATTGACCCTAGTGCAGCCTGCTCTGCTGAACACCCCGTTTGTCAGCACCTCGCTTCAGGGTTGACCCATGTGCCTGAGTCTTCTGCTCACAAAGGCATCTGAACAGTGGGCAGTTACTTCCATGCTTCTACTTCATGTCATTCCACTTTTCTGAACCTCAGTTTTTCATCAGTAACATGACAGGAAAGTATCTTAATCCAGGATGGGCTTTCGGGCTCCATGAATACCCTGAAACTGTATGCGGCATCTTGCCTGTCAGGAACATATATGCATTTAGATTTTTTATCATATTCTCAAAGGGGATCCATGAGTCACACATAAAAAGATAAAAACCATTGGACTAAATGATCTCTGAGTTCCCTCCCAGCTGTAACATTCTATAAGTCAAAGGTCCTAAAGCACATGACATTTTCTTATTCCCTGGAGAGGAAGTTAAAGACCAAGTATTACTAAGCCTGTTATTCGGCGACAATGAAGAGATAGAATCTGACAGAGCCCTAGACACCATGCAACACCAACTGAAAAGGTTAGAGCCAAACCTTTTTTGTCTCAGGAGGTAATGTTTCCTCTCTCTGGAAGTGTTCCAGCAGTTGAATTATCATGTCTCTGGGATATTATATAAGGAATTTTTTTTTTTTTATATATAAGGAATTTTTAAAACTATGTAAAGAGCTGGTCTCTAAGATTTCTTCTAAGTCAGGGGTTCTTTGTGAGCTAGGTTGCATATCTTTGCTCATGCATGCTCTTTCCTCTGTCTGAAATAACCTTCTCTCAGGTCACTCCTCTCTCGTTCTTCACGTGTAGCCTTTTCCTCTCCCAGTTTAATCAATTACTGCCCCCCATCCTCCCACAGCTCTGTCTAGACACCTCTCTTAGCACTCAGCACACCTGGAACTCACTGTCAGCAGGAGAGTACAGGTCTGAGGCTCCACTCAATTGTCAGTTTCTTGACAGCAGGAATAGTGTGTTACTTACCTCTATATCTCTAGTGCCTTATAGTATTTGGGACATAGTAAGCATTCAATAAATAACTGTTCCTACAATCAGTAACTGCTCCTACAATGAGTCTAAGACCTTACATAAGCCATTGATCACTCTAGACCTCAGTTTCCCCATCTGTCAAATAGAAGGGTTGGACGAGATACTCTCTTAGATCTCTTTCAGTGCTTATGTTATGAATTTCTGCAAATGTATCACTTTAACTTGCTTGCCTTACTGAAGGTACATTTATGTACCACTTTATCCTCACAGTGTTCTCACACATGTATTTGTGCATTTGGTTTTCCAACTCCCTACATATTGGTCATGAGCAAATTACCATTTAACAGGTTTATGAAAGTTCTGTGTTCTGATTTTAACATGAAACACAAGAACAGAACAAAGGGGCTCACCACTGCATATACTTGAACATGATATTCCCTAAAACTCTTAGACCCCAGCTGTTTACAAGTCTCACCCCTGCCAGATTCAGAAAATATTGAGAAGAGCAAACTTCAGTAAATACCCTAGTTCTTGCTTGGAAGAGACAAGGAAGCCTAGCCTAATAGTTGATGATTAATTTGTCTCTGGAAACCAAAAACATACCCATAAGGTACTGGGGCCCCAGTTTACAGAGTATTCATTAAGGTGAGTGTTTCATGTACATATATGAAATTATTTTAATGCCCCCCTCATGATTCATACTGTATTAGTTATGTCTTACTGTATTACAAATTACTCCAAAATTTAGTGGCTTAAGAAAACACTCAACATTTATTATCTCACAGAGTTTCAGTGTGAGTTTTGGTGTTCTGGATCAGGGTCTCTCATGAGATGAGAATCATGATGTTGGCTGGAGCCGCAATCACCAAAAGGCTTTCCTGGAGCTACAGGATCCATTTCCAAGATATCTCACTCACACGGTGTCGGCAGGAGGCCTCAGTTCCTCTTCCAGAGTGAGTGATCCAAAAAAACAAGACAGAAGCTGCAATGTCTTTTATGATCTAGCCTGAGAAGTCAACACTCTGTAATTTCTTTCTTTCTTTCTTTTTTTTTTTTTTTCTGAGACAGAGTCTTGCATCTTGCTCTGTCGCCCCTGGTAGAGTGCAGTGGCCTCATCATAGCTCACTGAAACCTCAAACTCCTGGACTCAAGCGATCCTCCTACCTCAGCCTCACAAGTAGCTGGGATTACAGGTGGTCAGCACCACACCTGGTTAATTTTTCTATTTTTATTAGAGACGGGGTCTTGCTGTTGCTCAGGCTGGTCTTGAACTCCTGAGCTCTAGTGATCCTCCCTCCTCAGCCTCTCAGAGCACTAGGATTATAGGTGTGAGTCACCACACCTGGCTGAAAGCTAGTTTTTAAATGCTATTAATGGTTACTTTGATGTAATATGCCCAGTTTCTACATATGACCCAATTCATTTTTTTAGATGATGGAAGCAGATTAAGTGAAATTTTTAAAAACAGTTCTGGCATTGGGATGAATTTTACTGGGAGAGGTAAAGCAGCTGAGTTCTATCTTGGCTCTGTCTGTAGTTTACCACATGGCCGTGGGTAAGTCACTTCTTTTGCCTCAGTTTCCTTATCTACCAAATAAGGGTGTCACCCTCAATACACTGAGGTTTCTTCAAACTCATACTATGAGCAGTGGTTCCCTGGGAGACACATACATGTGGGATTATGTTCAATCCTCAGGAACTGTACTGTGTGTGTGTGTTGCTGCTGCTGCTGCTGCTGCTGCCTTAAGGCAGCAGTATATATAAAATAGGATGCAGGTTATTCATAATTTCCAGTTCCAATCCCACCCCCTTTTCCCCAGTGATCACTATTATTATACCCACAACCATAGCTCTGAAGACCTTCACAATTGTGGGCCATGTGACACCTAGAAGATCTTTTTAATGCAAAATGCATCAGTTAAAAAAAAAAAAACATTAATTCTATTCATAAGCTCAGGGCCTAATTATATATTCAGATGATTACATTCTTTTTTCTAATTCTGCTTACTTAGTTCTACCAAAAGGAAAAATCACCTCCCTGTAAACCTCCGCCTCCAAAGCAATCTCCACTTGCTTTCAGGACATCCTGATCACTCTAAAAGGCTGGATCCCCTATTTGTCAGGTGGCTGCCTTTGTTGGAGGCCAGAAAGGTCTGCAGTGACAAGATTTGTCCGGGGGCTGACTGCATAGTGGCTTCTTAGAATTGAAAAGGAAGGCTATTTGGCTTCCTAAAAGGAAGAGAAATGACTGCTCAAATAACAAAGTCTAATGTATCACCTCAGAGCCCCTCTTAATGGCAGTGAGATCCATGTAGATGCCAACCCAGACAGCCACGCTCCTGTGTCTGTCTAAAGGGCCAATATCATTATCGTAAGGCAGTTCTGTTCATCAGTGCTGGTATAAAGAGGGGCATCCCTCTGCCTGCCAGGGGCAAAGCTATTAGATCAATTAGCTGCACTTCACCTGCCCAGGTGCTCCCACCTTCTTCTGAAAAGCAGCCTTCTTCCAGACAGATCGCACTGATATGGCACCTGCTCACTCACGTCCATGTGACTCTCAGGCACCGAGATGCCAGCCTGCCCAGCTATCCTGTAGACTACAGTGCAGCAGGCCCAAGTGTCAGCAGTTGGCAAAGATGTGACAAAGCCAGAGTCAAATAAAAACATCAGAGCTGTCCAGGAGTTAGCACAACCCATCTGGCCATGGTCTCTGATGGGACTCAGCGGAAAACTATTTGATAAGCAAATTTGGCCCCTAGAGCTGGGGCTTCTCCACACAGGAAGAAAGACCTTCAGAAGGGAATTTAATGAGTTGACAAGGTTTTAAATCAAAGTGTAACTCTGATATCAGTCAGCTGGGTCTTTTCTGTCCTTTGAGATCCATAGTCTGTGCAAGTCTGAATTCTGTGACTGGTTGGAGGCTTTGGGTCTCTACCTCGGCTCTTGCTTCTATCCATGTCTGATACTTGTCAGGTTGCTTATTAAAGAAAAGCATGCTACAAGCATGGTAGACCTTACAAAAAGTTGGTGTCATCCCAGCGAATCACATTTCATATCATGCATTTCATATCCCATAATGATATAGTTAACAGTCCATATTAGACCCTCCTGTTCTCTTCAGCCTGGCTACTCAAGGTATCGTCAGAGGACCAGCAACACCTGTATAATCTTGAGCCCTACCTCCGACTTGCCAAATCTGAATCTGTAATTACCAAACTACCCAAGTGATTTGACCCATTAATATGCAAAGAGCACAGCTCTGAAGGCCTTTTCTGTTATCGTAGCACAGGAGGATTCCCTTTGTCCTGGTCCTTGCTCTGTCTCTTCTTTTTCTTCCTCCTCCCTTCTCTCTCCCTTGTTCTTTTATCTCCTCCCTCCAGGTGAGGAGCTACAAACACATTTGTCTCCTACAGGGCAGCCTTTTTCTCTGGAGCTTCAGGGCCAGTCACCTGCTAGGCCCTAAGGTTTCACCTGTCAGCCCTTGATCCTGTCCCGAAGCTTATTAAAATATTTGTCCAATCAAGGTTCCCCACCACCACCACAAGAGGAACTCTGGTGCCAGCCAGCTATTACCATAAAACAACTTCTCCATCTCATTACAAAAGAAATCCTAAATTTTGGAACGATAGCTGGTTCCAAAACAAACCCCTAAATCAAGTCAAGATTATGAGCTATCATACAACTGTTGGACCTGGGAAGCAGAGTTTCTGACGGGAAAGTGACTCACTCAAGGTCATTCGATAGTTACTGGCCAAAGCAGGACTAGAAAACTTCTTATACTTCCCAGCACAGGGTTCTCTGCACCTTATCCTTACTAATTCTACTTTAAACTGAACCTTTAAGTGGCTACCAAATTCTCTTCCTGAATAGTAACTGTGAATCACCTGGGCAGTAAATATATATTGGGTACCTACTGTATATGACAAGCTCTTTTCAAATATCACAAGAAGCAAAACAGACCTGGGTTTTCCATATACCACCTGCCTTTGCCCAGATTTAAATCCTTATTCCCACCAATCTGCCTGGCAGACTCCTATACCTCTTTAAGAATCAACAGCTGGGACCTTCTTGATTCCTCCAGACAAAATTAATGACTGCTTCCTCTCTGCAAGCACATTATTATAACATTTCTTCCATTCTGATATGCTTTCTGGAACAAGAGAAAAAGTGTGGAGTTCCAGGTAGCTCCAGGGATCACACATACCTTTGGGAATGTGTTATGTTTCACACCAAAAAGTTGCCTGGTTATCTATCATGTGTGTCTCAACAGTGCAAAGACTGATCCATAATATTCTTTTCAGCTCCATCATCTTTTGAGCAATAAGGCCTGGTATAAAAGAGATGTTTTTTATTTTATCTGGAGAAAAGACTGCTTTTGGAAAATGTGAATTTGTAAACATCTCCTTTTATGTGGAGATGTTTCAATTTCTCTTAAAATTGAAACCTCACTCAGGGTCACTTGACTGGTGATACTGTTTTAATTTTTTCCTCTTCCTCTTTGGCTTCACTTCCAGAAAACGAGAGGAAGAAAACAAGCGAAAAGAGGCAGAACAGCAGAAAGGAAGGTGGAGCCCAGATTCCTGCAGACCCCCAGCCCTAACCTGTCTGCCCAGTACCGAGGACGAGCCCAGCAGGCAGAGCTGTGCCTCCAGCAAACAGCCTCCTGCCGGCAACACAACCCAGGGCCCTGAGCCAGGAGACTGCAGAGGGTCTCCAGGAGGGCCTCGAGGCAGGGTCCCCCAGAAGGAAGAGTATGTTTCCTCAGACTTGCAGGGAACAAACTCCAGAAAGCCAAATGGTAGGTGTATTGCCTTTGCCATCTCATACCAATCCGTGGACTCTTTTGATTGATATATTTAGACCATTTACATTTAAGGTAATTATTATGTTAGCATTTAAGTCTGCCATTTTATGATTTGTTTTCTATTTGTTTCCTCTGTTCTCTTTTCTTCCCTTTCTGTGGGTTACCGCAACATTTTTTAGCATTCCATCTTGATGGATTTATAGTTTTTGAGTGTACCTCTTTCATGGTTGGCAGTTGTTTTTCTTTTAGAACTTGAAAAATACTGTGCCACTTCCTTCTGGCTTTCATAGTTTCAAATGAGAAGTCCACTGTCATTCAAATTATATTCCTGAGAACGTTCCTAGCTAACATGTAATTTCTCTCCAACTGCTTTCAAGATTTTTTGTCTTTATCTTTAATTTTCAAAAGTTTAATATGATGTGTCTTGGCATGGGTTTTTGCAATTTATCCTATGTGGAGTTCACTCAGTGTTTCAGGGGTTCCAGTGGCCACTTCTAGGTTTGGTAATTTGCTAAGAGGACTCACAGGACTCAGCATATAGTTGTACTCATAGCTATGATTTATTATAACAAAAGGACACAAAGCAAAATCAACAAAGGGAAAAGGTACATGAAGCCAAGTCCAGAGGAAACCAGGCACAACCTCCCAGGAGTCCTCTTCCAGAGGAGTCACACACAACGCACTTAATTCTTTCAGAAATAAATTGTAACAACCAGTTAGACACCTTTTGTCTACCAGGAAAGCTCACTTGAATGTAGGACTCCAGGATATTTAGCAGGAGTCAATCTTATAGATACTCTCTGCCTAGCATATGCCAAAATTCCAGACTTCCAGAAGGAAAGCAGGTGTTCAGCATGAGTCATATTATTTGCACAAAGCAATTCAAACACATTGATCCTACTCTTATAAGTTAGGGAATGGTGGGACCCCTCCCAAAATATAAGTGCAGATGCCAACACAGTGAAAAATGCGAATGATGTCTTAATATTATTATGAAAATAGTTTTGACCTGGTACACTCCCAGAAAGGGTCACTGGGATCTCATGATCACTTAATTCAGGGTTTGGACAATTCAGTCTGTCTCTCTGGAACTTAATTTCCTTAGCTATAAAGTAAGGGGTCTACTGTCTACCCTGAAAGGCAGTTATGGATAGAAATAAAATAATTAATATAGAGTACTTGTTATAGCCCATGGCCCACAGTAGGTCTTCAGTAACTATCACTATTAAGCCATACTGCTAATCTAGCCAAAAAAAACTACAAAAAAGTATACAGGTTGGGCGCGGCCTGTAGTCCTAATTCTCTGGGAGGCCAAGGTGGGCGGATTGCTCAAGTTCAGGAGTTCGAAACCAGCCTGAGCAAGAGCGAGACCCCATCTCTACTATAAATGGAAAGAAATTAATTAGCCAACTAAAAATATATATATAAATGCCTGTAGTCCCAGCTACTTGGGAGGCTGAGGCAGGAGGATCGCTTGAGCCCAGGAGATTGAGGTTGCTGTGGCTAGGCTGACGCCATGACACTCACTCTAGCCTGGGCGACAAATCGAGACTATGTCTCAAAAAAAAAAAAAAAAAAAAATAGTATACATACATAACCATAAACATTCCTGGAATATAATTCCATAATCCACTTTACAGCAACAGTATGTCAGCAATGTAATTCTTAAGGAAAGTGTGATTCTGTGTTACATATTCATCCATTTATTCATTCAACCAGCTTTAATTAGGCTCTCATGATGTGTCACTCATGTCAAATTTCCTTGAGTTCTTTCTTAGCTTGGGGCCTTTGCAGGTGAAATTTCCTCTATTTTTCAGATCTCAGGGTGAATGTTACTTCTTCTATACAGCCATATCTCCCCACTTAAAGATGCTACATTTTCCTGCTACATGCTCCAATACCTCTCCTATGTTTCCCTATTATAAAGATTATAATATTTTATTGTTCTTACTGGTTGACTTTATTTCTTCCACTAGATTACAGATCTATAAAGAGCAGGGTTGTTTCAGTTATCTACTGCTACATAATAAACCCCAGAAAAACCAAGTGGCTTAAAACAACAATGTATTATTTCACCATGATTCTATGGTTTGGTTGGGCTGTCTCTCTGCAGGTTCATCCATGTGGCTATATTCAGGTGGAAAGGCAGCTGAATTGCATGGTCTAAGACAAACTGACTTGAAGGCCTAGCAGTTGATCCTCGCTGTCAGCTGGCATTCCTTGACTCTGCACTGCAAGGCCTTTCATCCTCCAGTAGACTAGCTGGCTTCCTTACAGAGTGGTCTCAGGACAGCATTCTCAGAAAGCAAAGGCAGAAGCTACAGGACCTCTTGAAAAACAGGCTCGAGAATTTGCACGCATTCTATTGATCAAAAGCAAGTTATAAGACTATTCCAGACTAAATGATGTGGAGAAATAGATTCCACCTTTATGCGGACTAAGATGGGAGTAATTTTTGGCTGTTAAACAATGTCACAGTTCTGTTTGGTCACAGATTATTCATATTCCTCCCACATACAAGATATTCTTACCCCTATCTCAGGGCCCCAAAATCTCATTCCAATTATCACATCATGCTTGAAGTCTAGGATCTTGACCTGTATCAGGTCCAGATGTGGTTCAGGTTTCCCAGGTGGGACTTGATCTGATTCAGAGATCACTCAACCAGAAAGGTACGTTCTCAACCCCCACACATCCAGCAAGCAGTGGTGAGACAGGAACAGAATAACCACAGTAGATGCTCCCAAAAATGAGTATAATAGGAGGCACATAGCAATTCTGAAAGCCAGCTGGTCACACGTTGCCAGGACCCCTACTCTGAGGTATAGAATGTTTTTTGATTAAGGTCTCTCATTTTACTCCTGTGTGGTTTCATATTCCATTGTTCTCCTTGGCTCTTGGCTCTGCTCTCCAAAAAGTCCTTCCTTTTCCATAAGAAATGGGCCCCTTTTGCAGCTGAGAAGCTTTCTCCATCTGTTCTTGACTGTAGTATACTGGGGACCCAGAGGCTTCGTTTTGTTTCGAAAGCCTCACCAGTTCAGGCTCCAGATATTCTCAGTGATACAATTATCTCCAAAGGCTCACTGGTTTCCTGTGAATCCAATCGGGTTCATTCTGTGTTCCAAAAACCACATCCATAATTATTTTCCAAACAAACTTTTCTCTAATGTGAGTGGTTTAGACTTCGGTGGGAAAATGTCCTTGAAATTCTTAGAAATTCTTTTGTCTAGCTGAGAGGGCCCACTGTGCACCACTTTAAATATTTTTGAGCTCATAATAAAGAGTGTCATACAGCCATACTGTTGATATGATTTTTTTGTCCTGAGGCCATATCTTACAATGAGACTCTTGGCTGGAAAGAATAAAAATGTTTACAGTTTTATTTTCTAAGCAAGCACATCGTGGGATCTTTATGCTTCCTCTAAATTCTGCTTACAAATTAGTTCTTTATTTTCTTTCTTTCTCCCCATACCTTGTGATGTGCAGCCTAAAAAGCAATTGTTTTCTTCAGCATTCCACCTGGAAATCTCCTGAGCCACATCCACATGTTCATTAGGTATCTTCTGTCTTCTACGTTACTGCAAGTGACAATTTTGCCAGTTATTCTCTTTGAATAACAAGGCTCACCTTTCTCTAGACTCCAACAGCAATTTCTTCTCTGCTTTTCCCACCTTCACCAACATTCTCTTCATTGCTCACCAACCAGTCCCAAAGTCATGCCACAAGTTTTAGATTTTTATTAGGACAGCACCTCTCTTTTTTAGTTACCAGTTTCTGTGTTGGTTATCTCTTGTGACATAACAAACTACCCCCAAAAGTAAGTGGCTTAAAACAATAACAGTTTATTCCTCACAGTTCTGTGAGTTGGCTGGGCAGTTCCTCTGCTGTGTGACCTGGGCTTGTGTGGCTGCTAGAAGACTGACTGGGTGGGAAAGCCCTACATGGCCTCCTTTATGTGTCTGCCAAGTGGTGCTATCTGTTGGCTCAGGTGCCTCCATTCTCCTCTGTGTGGCCTTTCATTCTCCAGTAGACCATCTTCCTCACATATTGTTCTCCGAGCAGTGCTCTGAGAGAGAAAAGGCAGAAGCTGCAGGACATCTTGAGGCCTGGACTCCAGAACTTTCATATCACTTCTACCATACTATTTTGATCAAAGCAAGTTGCAATGGCAACCCAGATTTAAGGAAGTAGAGAAATAGACTCCATCTCTGAATGGAAGATGTGGCAATATTACATTACAAAAGTATGTACGTATTAGGATGGGAAGAATCTTTGGCCATTAAACAATCTATCATGAGAGGTGATGTGTCTCTTCTGTATCTCTAGCACCTTGCAGGTGTCTGGCACATAAGTATTTGCTGAATTTATAGTTATATGGTACTAGCTAGGTTCTGGAGATTCAGAGATGAAAGGCAGGTCATTAAACACAAGATGAAAAGTATTTATTGGAATTATACTCATGTTTTCTTTAATGGAATACTATTTTATGGCAAAGATTTGCCTTTATACAATTCACTAAATCATTTATGTTTCAGTTATATCTATGTATATATACATGTGTGTGTGCCCATGCAAGCATATGAGTAAATTGTACCACAATGTAGCAGTTTTGTCTTGGTATAGGACATTTTCAAAGAATTTTGTAAGTTACTGTTCTAGAACAACTCTGAGGTAGGGAGCTTCTCGCTCATTTGAGGACGGGAAGCGGTTTCCTGAATAAGAGACCTTTGTAAAGAGTCAGATTCTAATATGGAAGCAGAAGCTGAGCATCCAGAGTTCAGGGACAGCTGAAAGAAAGGTGGGCAGTGAGACTGCTTTAGATGTAAGGAAAGGGAGCTCTAGTTTTATGGACAGGCTTTGTCCTCATTCACCTGCCCAAGAGCTGGAAAATAGGGAGGCACTTCTAGGAATCAAGAGTGACCATAGAGCCTCAGTAGCATGGTATCCTTGGGAAATCCCAACATCACTGGGCAAAGGACACCACAAGCCACTTTATGTTTGGCCACATAAAGAAGGGTTACAGCTTTTAACTGATCAGTGTTGACTTGGAGGATGGGCACCCCAGCAAGAACCGAGAAGTAGGAAATACCCCTTCGTTTTCTCTCTCATTCTGTCTCAGAGAATGTTAGAGGTTGAGGTCTTTAGAAAGCATCTAGTGCAGCCTCCTCAAAACAAGTCAAGAAACAGAGGCCCAGAGACGGGGACTTGTCCAAGGTCTCTTAGCAAGTCAAGTCATTTTTTTCTTCTCCCTCATAATAATTCTTCCTTGTTGTTGTTTATAATGTGTGCAAAGCATATTGATTAAATGCACAAGCTTTGGAATCACACAGCCTAAGTTCATATTTAGATTCTACCACTTACTGGCTGTGTAATCTTGTGCAAGTTACTTAACCTCTCTAGGCCTCAATTTCCTTATTTATAAAAAAAGATAATAATGCCTGCCTTAGAAAATTGTGAACCTCAATGAAATAGCCCATGTAAAGATTTAAGGACAGTGCCTAAAGCACTCTGTAAATGTGAGCTGTTATTATAATTAACCTCATTGTTTCAAATAGGGAGATGGAAGGAGACATAATCTTTAGAAAGATCACTGTGACAGACTCTGTACTCTATCCAAAACCAGGCTGAGATGAACTTCCTTGTCATCTCCCAGTGCTGGAAAGCAGATTTTTTTGTCTGGATTATCATTTTCCAAAGGTATATCCCTTGAAGAGTCCTGGCTTCATGTAGAGTCTTGGGTCCAGTTAACTTTCTGCCTACAAGGCCTCATTTTCTGTTCTTATTTGGATGTTAAAACACAACCAGATATTTAATAAGACCATCCTGGCCCATTCAAATACTACTCCATGCCTAGAAAGTTGTTGGATTAGCTCACATACATATTGCTTTAATTTTCAGTTTTCTCTTTGTTTTTGGCCTCCAGAGAGTTCCTTTATTTTCTTAAAAGCATGATGGTGCTTTTAAAAGGAAGTCCACTGTATTTTAGTCAGCATTTCTAGGTATGCGTAGTGAAAGGCTTTCAAGTTAATTGCTACTATCATGTGATGCTATAGGCTAAGCCTGAATATTTTATATGAACAAATTTTCCTACTGTACAAGTTTTGGAAAATAAATATTCTTCTGCTTTTTCCTTGTTTTCCCAAGAAACATCCAGAGAACATTCTAAAGGCCAATCTGCCTGTGTCCACTTCAGACCCAGTGAAGGCAGTGATGGAAACAGGCGTTCAGGAGTCCCCTCTGTTGAGAAGTCCAGAGGTGAGACAGCTGGTGATCAGCGGTGTGAAAAGGGGAAAGGCTTCTTGAAGCAGCCCCCCTGCATTAGGGGGGCCAGGCCTGATGAGAAAGGAGAGGACCCCCATCGGGCAGCTACAAGCCTCCCACAGCAGGACGGCCACCGGAAGCCCAGGAGGTGGCATGACACAGCACCCACAGCCAAATGTGCCCCCCAGAAAAGGCGCATTCAAGAGCTCAAAGGAGGAAGGTGCTCCCCGGCTGGTTCCAGCCGGCCCAGCAGTGCCAGGGGGGAGGTGGTCCATGCTGGGCAGAATCCTCTTCACCATCGCACACCAAGAAGCAAAGTGACACAGGCCAAGCTTGCTGGAGGGGTCTATTCAGATGTGCCACAGAGCACAGAGGAGTTGAGGGCAGGAGCCAGAACGATGGGGACATCTATCCTGTATGAGGACATTCAGGTATCTCAGGAGACTGATCCAACACTTGGTTCCCTCTCTGGGCAGAATGTGAATATTGACCTTCTCCCCGTAGAGCTCCGCCTGCAGATAATTCAGAGAGAAAGAAGTAGGAAAGAGCTGTTTCGCAAAAAGAACAAGGCAGCAGCAGTCATCCAGCGTGCCTGGCGAAGGTAGGAAAATGAGGTGCTATAGCATCTTTGGTTGTTCCTGATACCCATGTCATGACACCCGTGCTCTTTGATGTTTTCCCAGTGAATTCTATGTGGTGGCATGGCAAGGCCAATTTAATAGAGCCTGCTCATGAAATTCACACATGTATAGATCTTTATAGCAGTAATTAACATTGTATGAGCTGTTTGGAAGATGTTTTTGCCTAGAAAGATGGGAAAGTACCCAGGATAGCCTGCTGTAAAGCTGTGATCCCCAGCCCCTGGGCTGCGTGGACCGGTATCGGCCTGTTAGGAACTGGGCCTCACAGCTGGAGGTGAGCAGCGGGCAAGCGAGGAAAGCTTCATCTGTATTTACAGCCACTCCCCATCACTCATATCACATAAGCTCCGCCTCCTGTCAGATCAGCAGTGGTATTAGAGTCTCATAGGAGCACGGACTCTACTGTAAACTGCACATGTGAGGGATCTAGGTTGTGCGTTCCTTATGTGAATTTAATGCTTGATGATCTGAGGTGGAGCCGAGATGGTGATGTTAATGCTTGGGAGTGGCTGCAAATACAGATTATCATTAGCAGACAGGTTTTACTGCACAATAAATGGAATGTGCTTGAATCATCCTGGAACCATCCCCTGTAGGCCGTGGAAAAATTTTCTTCCGTGAACCTGGTCCCTGGTGCCAAAAAGGTTGGGGACCACTGGTGTAAAGGAAAAAGCCTTGGGTTCATAACCATGAAGCCTGAGGTTCAGGTGACGCTCTAACAAGTTATGTGATTTTGGGCAAATCACCTAGCCTCTCACCCTCGGTTTCCTCTCCTATAAAATAGGATTTAGCAATTGTTGCACCTGTCCTATTTATATGACAGGTTGCTAGAATGAGATAACAATGCATGCTTCATAATTTCTGAAGTACTATACACAGAAGATACTTTGTTTTTCTTCTTTTTATGTCTTTACTATCCAGGAAATAGTCATATTCCAAATACCTAAACAAAACCTGGATATAATGGATTGAATTGACCAAAATTTGTTACACAAGCTTGTCTGAGCTCAAAACATGGAGCAGATGCTGGGAGTGGGGTGGAGGCTGTCCTAAAAGACTGACCATGTACGGTAGAGACAAATATCTCTAGGGAGTAATTAAGGGAGGACAAGAGGAGGCCTTTGCTACCAGTTTTCACATATCTCATAATCTCCCTCATGCTGTAGGCTTACTGGGGCCCAACTCTAGATTAGGGCTGACACTGAAGACAGTACCCAAGGAAAGGCCAAACCCAGAGCCGATAGGAGGGAGTTATGTGGCCTCTATTGCTGGAGAGAGGCAGTGACAGGGGACAAGGCAGGCAAATCACTGATAGCCCAGGCATGCCAAGTGTCAAGGCCCATCAGGAGAAAAAGGAAAGAAGGGGCTGAGAGAACACTAACACTGGCAGAGAAAAGGGAGCAAGGTAGATCCTTTGGAGGTCCAGGGAGAAGCCTTAGGGAATATCATGCCAAAGGCTACCTAACCCAGAGCCACGCGATCTAGATTGTAATTGCCCAGCCTTTGCTGTAAAGCTGCGATCCCCACCCCGTGTCCTTGTCTCTGTTCAAGCTCTCAGCCACTGACAAAGTCCTCTCTCATGCCTGATCCCCTTGGACCTCCCAGCCCCACCAGGAAGCCAGCATGACAGGGATCACATCCCCATTTTTTAGACAAGAGAGGAAAAATGACTTGTCCTTGTGGTGCAGATCCAGCACTTGATCCTTTGTCTGGCTCAAATCCAAGGGCCTCCCCTTACATTATTAGTGAAGTTAGTCTTTGCTGTGGTCAAGATGACACAGGTGGAGGCAGGCCTGAGAGAGGCCGGGTGGTGCTCACAGTCGCCGAGGCAACCACCAGGAGCAGGGCGATGTTACTGCCATTGTTAATATGGGTAGTTAGCATTTATTGGGCACTTGTGCCAGACACTGTTCAGAGTGGTTTTACATATGTTATTAAGTTATTTAATTGCCACAATAACCCTGAGAGGTAGGTACTGCTCTTAGCCCCATTCCACAGTCGAGGACGCTCGAGCACAGAGAGATTAACCGACTTCCCCACGTTACAGAGCTAGTAGGCGCTACACTGGCTGTGGGCCGAGACATGCCTCTGAAGCCACAGATGGAAGTGGCCATTGCTCCCTTTCTTTAGGGAGTTATGCCAGGACATGCGCTGGCCGCCGTCCAGAGGAACTTTTGTTAAGTCTTTTGGCTGAAACCTGGGATCTGAGCAAGCCAGCAACGCTGATCACGTCGGGCCCCACAGCTGCTCCCTAGCTGCAGTGTCTCCTCCTGACCGTCTGTTCTTTGACTCCTTTGAAGAGTCGAAAGCTGACAGGTGCTGTCACTGAGTGTCCAGAGGAGCCAATGAGCCTTCAGTCATCCCCCTCAAGAACAGTGGGCTCATGGTCTGACGTTCCCACCTGGGAAGGCAGCACTAACGGCCCTCTGGCTGTGCCATTGTGCAATTCTGAGGCCTGGGGACATCGACTCCCAAACAGCTTGTGGGATGCTGCACATTGTGGAAAGCCACATTTGGTGACAGTAAAAGTACTTTCACTGATTCTGTTATATTTTAACTACATTTTCCATTTTAACTATAGGAGTCTAAAGTGTTGTCCTGGAACAGTGTGTCTGATACCAAAACTAAGGAGCAGGAGGGGAGGGGTAGCAGACAGGATGCGACAGCTAAGTGCTTGGTAAATGCAGGCTGTCGTTCCAGGGCCATGCTGAGGGCGGAGAAAGGGAGCTAGAAAGTAAGCAGGGAGGGGTGGGCAAACCGAACCTTGGGCCCTGAGACATGAAACCTGGTCTTAACTTTAAGTGTGAGTCTTATTACCAGTTAGGAACTTGACTGTTGTAAAGACTGAAACCAGATGCTGGACAAGCTGAGCTGGAAGGTTGCCATGGTTAAGAGCAGCTACAGTGCAAAGCACTTCAGCTTCACCCAAACGTGTGAAAGCTGCCTTCCTGGCAGCGCTTCTCCAGCATGTTCTGGGGGTAAGCAAAGGTAGGCTGGGCCATGGGAGAGTCCTGGCGGAAAGGAACTAGTGGACAAGTGAAGACTCTCAGCAAGCCAGGAGCGTGTGTTCTCCTTGGGAACAGGTGAATGGCTGTTACTCTCACCACGAGGACCACTGCGTCCGCGGGATGCAGACTCACAGCCTCAGTACCAGAGTTGATTCGGTGGAAGCTGTGCCCACTGGCAGCTGAAACTACTAATAGCTTTGGCCAATACCTGGGCTTCCCCAGAACTCTCTGCCCATGAGAGTAGAGGGAGGACAGTCGGCATCTCAAACAGGAGAAACTGAATTATGGAGCAGCAGTGCCTCATCACCCTCACTTTTCTCTACACTTGGCTCTTTGGAAATGTGGTACATGTTGTAGCAGAGGGATGCCGTGGTGTGTCACTCTCCAGGAAACAGAAGGATCATACAGGGAGACTGGAACCAGCCTTTGGGGAGAGGCCCCACCACGCACTGCAAGGAGCTTTTAGCAGACTTAGGACAACAATTCTCACTTAGTGTATTGCAAAATCAGGCATGGGGCTGGTTGCTCTCTACAGCTACCCATAGGCTCACCAGGAATAAATACAGCTACAGATACTGAACACTGATGTAGCTTTCCCTTGGAGGCTTCAAAACAGTTGTGTTCAACAGTAAGCACCAAGTAAACCCTAGATGTAAACACAGCCATCATCCCCCTGTCCTCTCTCACTCCAAGCCCCACCCTCTAGCAGAATGGCCTTAGGCAAGCACAACTCTTACCTTTCTTTGCCCATCTTCTTAAAATACTTGGTGGGTCACATCATTTGCAGAATGTAGACCAAAGTCCTCAGCAATGTTTGGCTATTGGGCCAGACGGCACTGGATTTGAATGATGGTTTCTGCTGGCGCAAGCTGTGTGACCTTCCACAAGTTACTCAGGCTTCATATGCCTCATAATGTCTGCTTTACAGGGCAAGTACCTGGTATACAGCAGGCCCTCAACAGTCTCCTTCCCTCACCAAATACACAATGCTTCCACCACACTGCATTACTGACCTTCTTGCACAAATGCCCACATCTCTGCTCATGCCAGTTCTGCTGTGTAGAATGCACTTCTGGTGAGCTCCTATGCATCCTTTCAAATCTAGCGGTGTCAGCCTGTAAAGCCATACCGAACCACCGCAAATTGTCAGTCCTGCATCTGTCCCCACACCCTTTAGAGCTCCCTGCTCTTGGACAGTACTTCTCCTACTGCACTTACTTGTTGCACATCCACCTGTCCCGCTAGTCTGTGAGCTCTGTGAGGGCAAGGACTCATCTGAGCCCTAGTTCAGGAAGTATTTGATGATGGAAAAAGACAGAATTCAACATTCAACATGCTGCCACTGATACTAGGAGTGGGAACTTTAATGAACCTCCTAGTTCAGCAAATACTATTCCTATAGTTTGCAGGAACCTCAAGGAAATTTAGTTTTCTCAGTATTGTGATCTTAAAGCCTTTGCTCTCCTCTGACCCCACCAGCTACCAGCTCAGGAAGCACCTGTCCTACCTTCTGCAAATGAAGCAGCTTGGAGCTGGCAACGTGGACAGATGGAACCGAGAATGTACAGCTTTGCTCCTCCAGGTTTGGAGGAAGGAGCTGGAACTAAAGCTCCCAAAAACCATTGCAGTGAGCAGGGCCCCCAAGAGTCCATCCAAGGGCACTTCAGGCACAAAATCCACCAAGCACTCCGTGCTCAAGCAAATCTACGGTAATTATCCTCTGGGCACTTTGCAATTTACAACAGGCACCTCGGAGAGTGCCAAAGCAGAGTCCGAGATGGGGCTTAATTATACTGCACAAACCCCCATTAAAATACAACCATTCTTATTCTGATTTCAAGCATCAAAAGAATTCTCAGTACCATTTAGTGCCTCCCTTCCACCAATCCTGGGTCAGAATCCTGCTTTTGTGAGGCATTCTGGCATCTCAGCCCTGAGAGTCTTCCAGCCAAGAGATTCTCCACTCGGCTCCATGACTGAAAGCCTCGCCATTAGACCTCTCCACACCTCTGCTTCACCCACTGGGGAGTCTAGACTTGGCTAGACTCTGCCTGCCTCATTTTGACCCTTCCTGTGCTAACAGAGTACAGGGTTGTCCTTCTGTAGGAATGCCTCAGACCCAAGCACTACAGTAAATACTTGTTCAGCAGATTAACTGGTGTGAATTGAAACATTTTTAGCTCTGGAAAGAGCCTATCCAAATAAATTCGGTAAAGAACAAACCTGGCTAGCTACCCAGCAGAGTAGGGTAGCTAGCTGTCCAGGCAGCAAAATCTTAGAACTCTGCTCTGGGCCTGCGTGGTTGCACACCATGGCTAATTTATCTTGGCAGACACCTGCATGCTCAAACTTTTACCTTAATAAGGAATTTAAAACTTGGTCAGGCCACAGCTGTCACTAGTCAAAGATAAATGACAGTTGTTGGTTAATTTCAGGTTGTTCTCAAGAAGGGAAAGTACATCATCCCCCAAGATCTGCAAAAGCCCCCTCTGCGCTGCGTCTCAATTCAGGTAAGACAGCCACTGTACTGGCAAAGCAGTGCAGGGGAAAAAAAAACAAAAAACTACTTTCATTATGCTTGAGTGAATTGAAGAATAGTTTCAAAAACAGAACTGATAGAACTACTAGAGAAGTGGGAGAACATGGGGAAGTGTTTTCCTTTTTTGTTTCATCTTGAAGAGGAATGGCCAGAGTTTTCCAATGGTCATGTTATTTCAGGTCTGCATGTGTTTTGAATCCTCCTTTCCTGGGATCATTACTGCAGTCAACAGCTGTCTCCATCAGAGGCAAATTATTTTCACAACCAAAAGCTATTACTATTATTAACATCACCTCTGGTATAAGCTATAAATGAGAGCTGATACGATCACTTTTACATACTTGTTCACATAAAGGAAAAGTGAAAATGCTGTCATTCTTCACCGGAATACTTTGGGAAACCTTTTTCCATTTTGGTGTCACATTAAGATCCTCCATCTCCTTCCCCGAGATGGGAAGAGCACCATGAACAGGACACTGATATCACGTCCAGCTCAGGATCAGCTGTGTACTTTCACTCATATAGGAGAAGCTCAGAGAACTTTCTTTTCAACCACAAGACAGGAGTGTTTTACTTAGGCCTCTTCATTCATGCCAGCATTTAATATGGGTGATAAGTTCAGTGCTGTCAGCAGCTAATGCCAGGTCCGGTGTTTCTCATGGGTGGCTATGGCAACACGCTGCCCCCACCCTTCCTGATCCACACAGTCATCCTGCAGAACAGAGTGCAGCTGGGAAGGTGAACAATGACTGTCAGCATGAACTTTAACATTCATTTAGTTTTTGATGGGGAGAAAAGCCTGGAGGTGGGGGACAGAGTAATTACTGCCAAATCTTTAATAAGAGTTGGGCAACTCAGGTAATACAGGCAGGCTGATCAGGGAGTAGAGGGTGGGGTGGTTAGAAACTTTCAAAGGAATTAAGGCCCACAGTTCTATGGGGCGGGGGTGGGGGAACTTTCATTACACTTGAGTGAATTGAACAGTTTCAAAAACAGAACCAACCACCACATATAACTACTAGAGAAGTGGCATTTTGATAATCAAATAGTAGTATAAATTAAGTAACCAGATCATTTTTCACTTTGTCTTAAGAGAAAAACAAATCAAGGACTACCATGGATCTTTAAAAATGAAGGTATTTAGCAACATAAAAAGGTTTTTAGTTTAGGGACTTGCAAAAGTGATAAACAAATTCAAAGAAATATTTAATGTTTCTTTAGCACTTCCTGTGAACCAAGCAACTTGTTTGTCCTACACATATTTCTGACAGGTTTGAAATTGGATAAGGACAAAATAAAGAGAATCTTTTCCTAACTCCAAACTTAGAGGAACACAAGGTTTTGTTAGGTCCAACCCCACCCACATTATGCACTAACCAGTTAATAAAGCTGGTCAGACAGGTCGGCTAGGGACAGTTTAGTGGAAGCCTCATGGTGTTACAGACACCATGTCTATAACTGTAAAAATTTCCATGAGAAGGGTATGACTGGGACACACACAGATGTGGACTCAAATTGAACCAACAAGAGAACATTAACTTTGGTCTTTAGCTTGGATGAATAACTTTTTCATTTTTTGCCTTAAGAATTCCATTGGGTTATAAGGACTTTCTGATTTTGGTCACTGTTTTTTATTCAGTTTTAGAAAATTGCTTGACATGTTATAGATGCTCATATATTTGATAAATGAATTGTTGTTGCCCTCACCCTCCAACCTGCGGAGGACCACCCCCACCCCCAGGTTTTAATAGTACCTTTACTATTTAAAAGGAAGCAACAGGCCAGGTGCAGTGGCTTACACCTGTAATCCTAGGACTTTGGGAGGCAGAAGTGGGAGGACCACTTGAAGCCAGGAGTGTGACACCAGCCTGAACAAGAGCAAGACCCTGTTGCTACAAAAAATAGAAAAATTAGCCAGATGTGGTGGTACATGCCTATAGTCCCAGTCAGGAGGCTGAGACAGAAGGATCACTTGAGTCCAGGAGTTTGAGGTTGCCGTGAGCTATAATGATGCCACTGTACTCTAGCCCAGGTAACAGAGCAAGACTCAGTCTTAAATAAATGAATAAAATATTAATAAAAAGGAAGAAACAAAGTGAGATGGATATAGTAAAATGACAGCCTCCTTGCAGTTTCTCTACATGCATTTGGGAGACAGTTGAATCCCTGCTCACTTCAGTCTTCTTCACCTGCCCTGCAAACCACCCACCAAGAGTATCAGCAGAAACTTATTGATACATACATTCCTGGCCCATTTCTTTAAATAAAAGAATTCCTGGGGCAGGCGCGGTGGCTCCCGCCTGTAATCCTAGCACTCTGGGAGGCCGAGGCGGGTGGATTGCTCAAGGTCAGGAGTTCAAAACCAGCCTGAGCAAGAGTGAGACCCCCATCTCTACTATAAAATATAAAGAAATTAATTGGCCAACTAATATATATAGAAAAAATTAGCCGGGCATGGTGGCGCACGCCTGTAGTCCCAGCTACTTGGGAGGCTGAGGCAGGAGGATCGCTTGAGCCCAGGAGTTTGAGGTGAGCGAGTTGAGGTGAGGGAGTTGAGGTGAGGAGTTGCTGTGAGCGAGGCTGACGCCACGGCACTCACTCTAGCCTGGGCAACAAAGTGAGACTCTGTCTCAGAAAAAAAAAAAAAGAATTCCCTTTAAAATTTCATTCCAGTAAATGGAATAACCACAACTCAAGTGATTATTAGCAATCTCTGTATGAGTCTAGTATATTCCAGCCCACCTGCAGAGGAGTACACAACCCAATTCAAGATACAGTGAAGCCAAAAACATCCCCAAGTTTCAAATACAGTTCACTTTAAAATAATTTTGTTCAAGTTATAAAGCCAGGAAAGAAAAATTAAGATGTCTGTTACTTTTTGAAACTATTCAACCTTTAATATTTGTTTATACGCTCCACAAAAAGCAGCAAACTATAGCAGTGTCTTCAGTAAGGTCTCCCAACCATTTGGAGCCTCAGTATCCGTCAGTTGTTGAAAGTATATCACTCATGTTTTCTGACTATGGCAGCCTATAAATTTGTTAATTCGGGTCATAAAAAGGCCTCAAAAATCCTTTTTAAGTTTGATATCCTATCAGCCTATCATCCTTGAGGATCTGAATAGTTTTCAAACAAACTTATTTTCTGGAATGGACTACTGCAAAATTATGTGAGAGAAAACACAGAAAGATGTATTAGTTATTCCAGGCAGACTGAAGACCTCGGTTGCAGTTCCAGCTCAAGCCCCTGCCCTCTCCCAGTCAAATTTCTGCCTTGGAAAGATTTCCCGTATCTTTGAAATTATAGAAAATGCAAGATTAATAAGTCATCGTGCCTCTACAGTAAACTAGCCTATCATTCCAGGGATAGCTCAAACCTAAATCCTTTTTCCTCACCACCAATGAACTCTTCCCTTCAGCATTAAAATTAATAACATGAATATCTGGTATTTGTTTTTAACAGTGAGCAACTTGCAGTGTATACATCTCCTTGAAAACAGTGGAAGATCAAAGAACTTTTCTTACAACCTGCAATCAGCTACTCAATCAAAAAACAAAACAAAACTCCGACTGCCTGTGGAGGAAGACTGTATTCGAGGGAGCTGGAATAGATAGTGCACAGTTGATTCTCTGCTGATTGTCTTTCACATCTTGTGAAAACTTTAATATCTATGCCTGAAGCCCTATTAGCCTAAAAATGTGGTAACTCAAAGAAAATGCTAGAATATTTTCTTTCTGCTCTTACATAGTACTGTTTTGGAAACCATCAGAACATAAGCACTAAAAGGGCTGCTGGGTTGGGGTTTCTGCCAGCTAGCTGGTGCAGGCCTGGTCTCTTGTCACAAGTGATAAACCTAAATGAGCTGGGGAGCCTGTCCCACAGCAGCCTTCATCTCCCTACTTTCCTGGATAGGCTTCATCAGACACATCTTCACTGTGCCTTCAACATCATCAGTATTAAATTTTAGATCAGAATCACGACCCAGTGTTTGTATTTAGAAGTTGCCCGGGCCAGGCACAGTGGCTCACGCCTGTAATCCCAGCACTCTCTGGCATGTCAAGGTGGGCAGATCATTTGAGCTCAGGAGTTCGAGACCAGCCTGAGCAAGAGTGAGACCCCATTTCTAGTAAAAATAAAAAGAAATTAATTGGCCAACTAAATATATATAGAAAAAAATTAGCCGGGCATGGTGGCACATGCCTGTGGTCCCAGTTATTTGGGAGGCTGAGGCAGAAGGATCACTTGAGCCCAGGAGTTTGAGGTTGCTGTGAGCGACGCTGACGCCACGGCACTCTAGCCTGGGCAACAGAGTGAGACTCTGTCTCAAAGAAAAAAAAAAGAAATTGTCTGTAAGACCATGGGTATATTCTTTTGGTCCTTTACATGTTATCATTCCCGTATCAGTCTCTGAAGGCACAAGTTGCTGCCATGTTCTCTATGAATGGCTTTCTCACTGCTGAGCACCAACAGCGGTATCACAGTATCAAGGAATCAGTCACGTAGTGTTCATGTGGCTATGTGCCAACTCAGGCCCCAATGATCCACTTATATTTTCTGACCAACTTGCACAAATGAGCAACCTTTACAAAATACTGTTCCTATTGTGTGCTAACTACACACATTCTAATTCTCTAAGAACATCTAGTTTAAATAAAATCCTGTGATTCTGGGCTCTTTCACATTTTTAAGGAAAAGGCTGCTGTGGGAGTATAAACAGGAGGCACAGTGATGCGGCTCACCAATATTTTTAGGGTTGCTTCCATTTTCTTAAGACCAGTGCCACTCCTGTGCTGACAGTAAGAGACAGGAGGCAGTGAGGTGTTCACTTAAGGTTCCTTGATTTTTAGTTTGCTAATTAAATTTTAATATTATTTTCATCATCATTAAAACACAAAGAATGAGGTCTGTCTAGATGGGGTTACAAAGACTCAGCTGATTTCTCGATAACTAACAGAAGGTACCACAGTATGATTCTGTATTTTGTAAGACCTAGCGCCTATGAAATACAAATGCTCTACCACCTGTCACACATATCATGTGTTGAGTCCAGGAAGCCAGCCTGCACGTGAGTGGAAATGCCTAAGTGTTATTTTCCTACTTCAGTTCAAAGGAAAATTCACAAACTTCTTTAAAAGTTCAGCTTTAATGACAAACATTTATTACATCAGTCTTTCTTCAAAATAAGACAGAAGTGAATAAACAATTTCAAACACGAGGTACCATGGCCTCTTCAATACACTGTGTTCAGTGCACTTGGCCCCTGGAGATGCCCAGTGACATGCACATTGAAGCAGTAATGTAAGTCTGTGAGCCACTGCTCCTGAACACCCCCACTCTTCAACGTCTGGAAAGAAAAACAAGAATAATTTGAGAACTGTACCAAAATCACTATGCTACCTGACAGTATTTTTCATACTCAAACATTTCTCAGAGCATTGGGAACAGTATCCCCATCTGTAAATCACCATAGAAAGTCTGCTTGGAAAAGGGGAACTATTAACTGGGCATTCCCACAGGTGGTGAAAATTCCTAGCAATATCCTCAAGTATTACCAGATTCTTACTGAGTTTATTCTCTTCTGCCCATGAGACGAATGAAATGTCACCACCAACCTTCCCTACACCCTTGATCCCCTACCCTTGGCATTCTAGATTTCATGATCTTTATACTAACATCAACTGAGAATGGTTCTAATGAGCAACTGACAATTTCTGTCAATCTCGTCTTTATGGAGGTGGGCTTATTCTCCAAACTGGGAATAATCCAAGTTCTTGATTTTTCTTCCCTTCTAATTCTGAATTATTCCACTGCCACTTCCATGACTTCCACGAAGGCTACTAAGAACATTCAGAATGAGCACCTCTATAATATTCATGTAGAAGCTCTAATATTCTAAACTATTACTACATACCTCAATGAATAACCCCTAAAATCAAACACCTATACAATCCTCCCAAACCAAAAACACCAAAGGAATCCTAGACATCAGAGCTACCCTCAAAAGAGACATAGCCAAAGGCAGAAAGCCAACCTTCAGACAAAGCTGAAGTCTGCAACTTCCTTCTTCGAACTTTCTCTTACTTTCCAGTGAACTAAGTGACTAAAAATTGGCCTGAAGTTTATTCCTACTAAGTAATTTCCTTAATGATAGCTAACAGTTATTGAGCATTTAACAAATGTCAGCCACACTAAAATCTTTACTTGGACAATCTCATTTAATGGTCACCAAAACTCAATAAAAGCATTATTCCCATTTTTACAGAATGGAAAACAAGCTTGGATAGGTAAGAAAGGGAAAAAAAAAACACCTCACCAAGCTATCACAGACAATCAATAGAGTCTGTATCAGAGTGTAGGTAGGGTTGACTCTGATGCCCACACTTTTTCAAACTAAGCAGCCTGGTGTCACTTTCATTCAGTTTAGTATTTTAAGGCTTTTATTATTGATTCTGAAATCAGAGATATCCCCCTTGTTAAGTCACAGTCAGGTCCTAGGCAGAAGCCCCAAGCAAAGGAGTCAGTAATGATCAGGAACCCTACCCTCCCAAAAGCACCACCCTCATTCCCCCTCTCATGAATCCATTCTTACACTAATAGTACAAAGCCACTATCATCATGCTTCTTACCGTGATATTCTTAATGATCTGCTGCACCAAGATCGCATTGGTCAGCATGTGAGTCCTGAGGGGTGCGTGCTGGAGCAGCAGGCGGAGAAGCTGGCCCACCACAGGCAGCTCCTCAGGCCCAACTCTGTTTACCCGCAGGCTCTGTAGCATCAACCTGAGGACTCGAGGCAGGAGGGTCAGGATGGAGACACAAACGCCCCAGAGCTTATCCCTATAAGAATGGAGACAGATAAGAGTCAGCAAGCCAACACACACAGGAAAAGTCTGCCTTTCCACATTCCCCCAAACTGAAATGTCCTTTTAAGAAATGTGTTTTTTTGGCTGGGCGTGGTGGCTCACGTCTGTAATCCTAGCACTCTGGGAGGCCAAAACAGGCGGATTGCTCGAGGTTAGGAGTTCAAAACCAGCCTGAGCAAGAGCGAGACCCCATCTCTACTATAAATAGAAAGAAATTAACTGGCCAACTAATATATATGGAAAAAATTAGCCGGGCATGGTGGCGCATGCCTGTAGTCCCAGCTACTCGGGAAGCTGAGGCAGTAGGATCACTTGAGCCCAGGAGTTTGAGGTTTCTGTGAGCTAGGCTGACGCCATGGCACTCTCTCTAGGCTGGGCAACAAAGCAAGACTCTGTCTCAAAGAACAAACAAAAAAAATGTGTTTTTTGACAAAACACCACAAACCCACAACTAAGAAGAACTGTATTTGTCAAAACTAAGCAAAAGCAATGAAGAATTAGCTGCTCTCCCTATTTATGGGTTTACGAAACTTAGCAATCAGCACGTTCCCAGGCCTAATAAGACATTCTTGAAGCTCTGGTGATCACATATAACAAAGAACCAGCCAGAGAACAGAATGATCTACACATGCATACCCCTGTTACTCATCACCACTGGACATTATTTTCAAAGAGAAAGATGTCCCCATCAGGAGCCAGAATAGATTTCGGAAAGTAGTCAATAAGGGACTTACTGCACCACTACTAGGTCATGGAAGAACAGACATGGTAAGTCCAAATTTCAATTAACCCCATTCTCTTAGGATCTTTACAGAGCAGAAACAAAAATTTTATAGTAAAGACAGGTGAACTTTAAAACTAGCCTACCCACATTCTAAAAATATTCATTTGGAGGGAGAGTCTACTAACTGCTAAAAGCTCTGATCAGTCAGTCTGTTGCAGTTTATGTAACAGGAACACATAATCTTTCTAAGAGAACTTAACTACCACCAGGTCTCAAGGGAGCAGCCCTTTTACCAACCATATGACCAACCTCCATGACTTCACATATAGTAACTGCATCTAACGTGAATAATGAATCCATTCTAGGCCAGCCAGATCCTCTTAAAGAGGCTTTATTCAGTCTGTGTCCTGATGCAGAGCCAGGCTAGGATAGCCATGTGTAAGAAGAGAGAAAGCCAAACTGCAGACACAGCTAATAATAAGGCAATGCCACAGAGATAAACCCTGCACCATGTAGAAAAAAAGAACAGAACAGAGAAAGCTGCTTTGGTTCCTGCTGGATTTCTATTCCTTGCCCTTTGGATTTTACAAGTTACTCCTGTGTAATAGTCCAGTATTTTCATGTTCTACCTTTGTTAATCTGAGTAGAATTCAATCACATACCCTTTTAAAAACTACACAGCCAGGCTCAAAAGCCAGAAGGGTGAAACTTCTAGGTGCCAGAAACTATGACAAAATTCATATAAAGATAACCAACAGGGGGATAGAACTGATGTGAAATTTTGAGATTTTCAACAGTTAACAGTGTTGTAAACTAAAGCTTCAGAGTCCAGGTATGGAGCCAAGGAACTGGCACCTTGCATAGAAGGGGAAGCCAGGAAATTGCAAATGAACTCAAACTGGTCAAGCCCAACTGTTTGGCCAGTATTTCTGAAATCAAAAGCTCACAGTAATCTGACTGGCACTCTCATCATTTTGCAATCTTACAAACACCTTCTCCAGTGGGAAAGAAGCCCAAAAGGGAATTTTAACTACCTAAGACTCTGGCTGTCAATTGTGAGTAATGTCATCCTAAGAGATGTTCAAAGACCTGGTAATGTCAAGGATTCCAATATCCTATATAAAACACTACTAAAATTATGATTTTTCTTTTTAGAGACTGGGTCATGCTCTGTGCCAGGGCATGTGCAGTGGC